CAGCTCGCGTCGGCTCTTAATGACTTTATAGATAACAATGACTGGAAGTGGTAGGAATAGCTTGCTGTCTGCCTTGATTATGGCGATCAGATCAGAGGATCATGGTGTTACTCTCTTTTAGACAATTGACCATTTTCTGTTGCACGATCGCCAAGGTAAAGATTAAATTTAATAAAATTCAGAAATATAATCCAGAACAATCTGACAATACAATTGTATAACTATTACCAAACGAAAAATCAAGTTAAGTACCTCTTTTGACCGCTTCACTGAGTCCTCGCCTGCGGGGTAAAGGGTGTAGGGGGACGAAAACGGTGCGGGCGGGCGGCAGGCACATTCTTATCAAAATTATAAGCGCCCACCGCATTTCCCCACGGGGGAGTCTCTTCTCCGTCTGGGAGCCTCTAGACCACTCGAACCTGAGGGGGTCGGCTCAACTAGAGGGCGCCTCTGAGACTGACCTCGGCTCTAGTTAGGCGGCTCTCACGGTCCCCGTTCTCATCACGTCCAATTCGTTGTACTGTTTTTAACCTTACCTGTAACCAAATTTCTTACAGCATTTTGATTCTTATCGCGCTTGTTATAAAGGTTGAATTTCCTAGATAAATGTGTCTCATTTAGGTGTTCCAAATGATTCTCCAGATTCACTTCCAAGTCTCGTGTTGACATTGGCGTCGCCTCATTATTGTAATTCTTTTTCAATAAATATTCGTAATCGAGCAATCTTAATCTGAAAAAATGTAAAGATTATTATATTGAAATTAAAAACATGCGTAGGTAGTTCACATGCTAACTGTTTTAAGTAAGACAACAAATTTTGGAATGGGTTTTGCTTGCTTATTTTTTGATTGCTGACTATTTTGTGCAGCAGTAATAGATTAAAATCATCAACAAGTCATTATCAAACTATAAATAGTGCTAAAGAAAATATAACTAGAAAAAATTCCACGCGGACCATGCAGCAGACGGGACTCGGAACCCGCACCCTTCGCAATCCGGGCGAATGCACTGACCAATTATGCTACCGCGGGCCTCACGGACCGCGTTCTTAAGCTGCAAGGCAGCGCCATCTCTTCGCATTATAGATAACCCACAATGTCAAATGAATACTTTTTACAAGTACAGTATATATTTTCTTTAGATTTAAACATCAAGCAGTTACATGCTTTAAAATAATAAAAATTATAACTATACATAGTGCTGTATATTTCGTTAAATTAACATCTCGCCCGCTAATCCGAGCCAATGACAAACTTGAACAATCCCTACTGATTTCGGCCATGTTCCTACTTTAATTAAATATATAAAAAAAAAAAATGAAGTACACTATTAAATAACGTATGGATGTTTTCAAAAACTGGTCAAATAGCCTATTATAAGTAAATAAATAAATATTTCCAATACTCACACCAATTAGCCTAGCCCCAAACTAAGCACTGTAAGGCTTGTGTTATGGGATACTAGGGTGACGGATAGAATACATATCTTTATATATATAATTCTTCTGTGAGTGTGTATGTCACTGAACTTCTCTTAAACGACTGGACCGATTTTGATGAAATTTTTTGTGTGTGTTCAAGGGGATCTGAGAATGGTTTAGATTCACAATTTTGTCCGCTGGACAACCCCTATTTTTTTAGGGCGGTACGAAGTTCGCTGGGTCAGCTAGTATATATATATATATATATATATATATATATACATTTTTCAACACACACACCGATTAGCCTATCGCCACAGTAAGCACTGTAAGGTTTGTGTTACGGGATACTAGGCTAACGGATATAATACATATACTGTACATATATAAGTATATTTATATAGAAATACATATACGACATCCAGCCCCTCTAGCATGACCACCAAAACGGGATATGATAAAGCGATATATCGACATTAACTGTCAGATTACTGTCAAACTCCATAGTAGTCTGACAGTTAATGTCGATATATCGCTTTATCATATCCCGTTTTGGTGGTCATGCTAGAGGGGCTGGAGTACAAATGTATTTATATCGTATTCATCACACAATCATCTACCCCCACCGCGATTCGAACCCAGGACCTCCCGAGTCGGTGACATCATGAAACCCGGCGTATAAACCACTCGACCACGGAGGTCGTGTGCGTCTCAGCACGACAGAAGTAAAAACTTATAGTTTAAGTGTGTGAAGTGATCTAAGCAGCGGGTTAGAGTGAATGAGGATGAGTCTGCTGCTGCCATATGCGTGAGAGGAAAGGAAGCCAGACTGAAGCCGTAACGCGTTACGTAACGAAGCGGTTTACCCTCCCATAGAAGTTATTACTTGCCGGGGAGGTCGCAACTAAATAAGTATTTCTTACTTGTTGATTGCATGGACAATGTTGTTGCAGTTAATTGGGCAACTGTACCCTAAAGGTTGCCATGGTGACGCGTTTCCATCGCCGCAGATCACTCTAGAATCTGAAAAGGTTACATATTATGTAACTGTTTTATTAATCCTCCATTGAGAATCCAAGTTTTAGGCACTTTTCCCACCGCGCCGACTAGGAACGAGAAACGAGTTGAGCCATAAACTAGAATCGAGTTGCCGAGCTGCGGGAAGCCAGTGTGTAAACCCAATAATTTTATCGCTGGGCCATAAGCGAGTTTGCGAGTACGACGGGCGATTACTCGAGCTATTCGCTCGCGGAGACAGTCATTTGCAAAAATGCACGCACTCTCGTTTTGAGGCAAGCGACCATTATCTTTGATAAATCTTGTCGCTCAGCCAAACTAGTGGAGAGAGTCCTCGCCGACAGTGTGAGCAGACAGCGATCAACTGTTAATATACATATATCTCTTTTGTTTTCACGAAATGTATATTGTACGTTTCTTGAGCGAGAAAATAGCCGATAGTTATCTCTTCCTCGCCAACGGTGGGACAACTGCACAGAACACAGAAAGATGTTAGAAGGATGCTCAAAGACTGTTTGTACGGGAACCGATGTCGCTGGTGCGCCCCCACTACACTTCCACCTAATAGATAATAGCCAATCAAACGACGCGACATCAAACAGTCGAACCAATCAGCACTCACACCCGAGACAACGACGCAATCAGAACACATAACGGTGGCGCGCCTGCCCCGCCTTCAGGACCCTTCTAACCTCTTTCTGTGTTCTGTGATATACTGTCTTACTATAGGATTAGTTACGTATACCTGTACGAATAATATAAATGAAAGCCACAGCCATAGTTAGTATAAACATTTTACGATATAATTCAGCCCATACTGTTGATAAACTTATCAAATGATCTTTGTAGCGGTGAAGTTATAACTAGGAAATTACTCATAAAATTCGATTGAGCGTATAACTACAATAACCTTAATTACGTTAATTGTTATATAAGCTATAACTGTAATGGTAGATTAATGCGGGTGTAAACCGTGTCTTTTGTTAAAGTAGGGAAGCCCAAGCGGGGAATTTGGGATTTACTCGACCGCTGCAGAATAACAGAGACAACCTTGCATCTTGTGAAGTACTCTCACTATACCTGAGCCCTTTATAAAGAGTTTAACGTCTAGAGCAGCAAAAAATAAATCAACAATCGGCCAAGACTTTTGACCGCGTCCAAATCGTCAGTCTTTGGAGTATTAGCTACTGGAGGGTCCACAAAACGTTTCTTTGGCCAGAAAAATATTAATCTGCTTTAATAAATTAAGTTTGCTTTTTTATTTATTAATAGCGGGGTAGGCAAACGACTCTACCCCACTTGATGTTAAGTGGTGATAAAATCCAAACGCGAAGATAGCTGGTACAACAGTTGTAAACTGCTAAACCAACCATCCTCACCTTGCCGGCCTGCAAAAATGCTTCTTCACGCCTCTCTTAAGGAACTTCAAGATTGTAGGAAGGAGGGAACACGTGCGCGGGCAAAGAATTCCACTTACGAATAGTACGATAAAGAAATGAGTCACCAAATTTCTTCGTTCGTGCAGGAATATTGGCCATAGTAAGTCGGTGGCAACGTAGGCCATCGCGCGTGGTCCTCTGAAGAAAAGGTGGCTTGGTGTGGGGGCCACACGAAAAGGTAGAAAATAGGAAAAAAATATTCGAGCACGGCAGATATTGAGAAGGGATGTTACGGGAACTCCCCAGTATCTTCTATTCAAAAGACTGACGATTGAGATGCTACTAAAAGTTATGGCAGATTGTTAAAATTTAGTATTTTGCTGTCCTTGACGTTCGGCCAATGTATGTCTGTGGATATTCAGGCCTCCGCTCGTGTTCATCCATACTGATAATTTAAGTTATTTACGAGAGCGTCTCTACAAAGGAAAACGTGTCTGTTTTGACATATTTTATAAGCGAATTATCGAGCTAGTGGATCAGGAATCAGTTGGTTCGATCGTACTTACCTTGTTTTTGCGAGTCCATCATATTTCGGCACTGTACAAGCGCCATGATCGCCTCTAAAGCGACTTATATGAATTTTTTATAGCTATAGTTTGAATCCCGGGAAAGAAGGCTAGTTGTTATCCCCTTTAAGGGGGTGCAAGTTAGTATTTTAATAATTGTATCCAATTTGACGTCAAGAAAATACATTTTTGATTATTTAATAATTGTATCCAATTTGAAATTAAGGATTTGTAATTTTATTGTCTGCTTTAATTTTGTATTATAATTTTGATTTCCAACGCTATTTTAAGGTTTAATGGAATAAATGAATTGTTATGGAAAATGCTATTTACTATCTCGAGCTCCTCCGTGCTTCGGAAGGCACGTTAAGCCGTTGGTCCCGGCTGCATCTGCAGTTGTTAGCACCCACCAATCCGCACTGGGCCCGCGTGATGGGTCATAGTCCAAACTCCCTATTCCATTAATAGGGAAGGCCTGTGCCCCAGCAGTGGGGACATTAATAGGCTGATAATGATGATGAATGGAAAATGCGTAACCAATTTTTCCACGCAGACGAACTCACGAGCAGCCTATCTTTTGTATATTATATCTTATCTCTCATATTGTGTATTTTTCAGACGAAAAACCTTTCAAGTGCGCTTTCTGCGACCACGCCTGCCGGGACAGCTCGTCCCTCAGGAAACATCAAAACATACATTTAGGCATTTCTAAGAAATATCCTTGTCAAGAATGCCACAAAAAGTAAGTACTCATAGAAAAGACAACAAATATTTCTAGCACTCGCACCAATGAGGATCATTACTAGTCTAGTCAGCAAATTAACTAAAATCAACAGTATAATGATCCAATAAGTTATTGAATTAATATACTTTTAAGTCATCGCAATTGGTTCATTCGACGGACGACATGACGACCTCCGTGGCCGAGTGGTTTGTACGCCGGGTTTCATGGTGTCGCTGACTCTAGAGGTCCCGAGGTTCGAATCCCGGTGGGGGCGGATGTTTGTGTGATGAATACGAGCAATTTGTACTCCAGTCATGGATGTACAAAGTACTATATCATAAATATACTTGTGCCTAATTTCATCGAGACCCGTTCAGCCGTTTTAGCGTGAAAGAGCAACAATCATCCAAACAAACTTTCGCATTTATAATATTAGTAGGATGAGTTCCCGATATCTTTATCTAGTAAAAAAATAAAGCTGTTACGTGTTCATATATTAATTTGGCCATTATCAGTTGTAAGGCTGCATTACATGTTTATTTCATAGCAAAAACAAGGTCGGACCTAGAACACTCCCTTGCGAAACTTCCTAATATCCATCATTCCTTCTCCACCTGATTTTCCCAATTAACTCAGTCCCTTGAAATTTATCTATGACATTCAAAATACTAAGTTAACAATGGCCTTTTTCAAGTTGTAGAAGGTTCAACCTTTGTCAGAAGCCTTTTTTGAATCAAGTTAAAAATATATCTTTGTAATCTTAACGTTGCCCCACCGGGAATCGAACCGGTACCGCTGTGTAGGTGACACCTTGAAAGCTGGCAAATCAAATACTAAATAAAACAAGTTTCAACGGTATAGATGCACTGATTTATTTGTTTCTTGGCGTTTCGCATCCTTTTCTTTTATTACTTTGTCGAGCTACCTTAGAAACAGGGCCGTCTTTAACCTATTGGAGGCCCGGGCATATTAGGATAATGGGGCCCCTATGACTTTGTTGTGGATTAATGACTTGAAATGAAGCAAGATATACTGATGAGTGTACTACTGATGATTTTTCTTTGAATTGTGTATGTGCTTAGTATACCATAATTTATCTAAGCATGCTGAAGTCGGAAAGCCTAATTTTTGGGCGAGAGTAGAATAGCTTCGCTATGTAAAAGCTAGTACTTTGGTATTGTAGTCAGTCATTTAGGATCGATTTCATCGAGTTATATAAGTTTTTTGGTAATAAATATTGGTTATGGTTTGGTGATGTGACAGGAACTAAGGACTTTGTATTTCGACGCGGCTAATAGGGCCGTGGTAGCATAATGGTCAGTGCATTCGCCCGGATAGCGAAGGATGCGGGTTCGAGTCCTGTCCGCTGCCTGGTCCGCGTGGATTTTTTTCTAGTAAACTTTTCTTTAGATTTAAACATCTAGCAGTTAAATGCTTAAAAAATAAATAAAATCATGACTTTGTATTTGATCAGAGGGGGGCCCAATCGATCGCGGGGCCCTGGGCACTAGCCCAAAGTGCCCACTGGGAAAGAGGGGTCCGTTTAGAAATACTTTTACTAAGCGTTCGAATACTTTCAACACTATTTTTTTTTATCTTCCAATAAAGTATCCGAATGCTCAATAAAAGTCTTTCAAAGGTAGCCTGACAAAATAAATAAAATCATAATTATGACAACGCAGCCTGAAAAGGATGCTAAACATCATAAACAAATGAATTAGTGCATCTATATCGTTGAAACTAGTTTTATTTAATGAGCGGTGAGCGTGAAACCCTAAGAACCAAATAAATCTAATACTATATACCTTGCATCCTAAGAAATTCGACACAACACCGACGGCATCGTTAGGGGCACGATAGCATAGTGGTTAGTGCATCTGCACGGACAGTGGAAGACGCAGGTTCGAGTCCTGCCTGAAATCTTGATCGAATTGAATTTTTTCTAGTAAAAATAAATCTTTACATTTGTAAATCGAGCAGATAAATGCTTAAAATAAAAATATAACAAACTGTATACCTTTTATTATGCTGCATTGTCGCAAATGGTAAGCGGGTTCGGCTGTGATCGTTAAAGTTAAAAAACTTTCGCAGTGGTTCATCATTGGATGGGTGACCAAAAATTTGCTATCTCGAGCTCCTCCGTGCTTTGGATGGTACGATAAGCTGTCGGTTCCGGCTGTATCTGCAGTCGTTATCACCCACCAATCCGCCCTGGGCCGGCGTGATGGGTTACGGGCTAGTCTCCCTATTCCATCCATAGCGAAGGTCTGTGCCCTAGCAGTGGGGACATTAATATACTGATATAATAATGATAAAAGGTCAATAATTTATTTATTTATTTATCTTTAACAAAGTTTCTACAGCGGTTTTATGTGGATTGAATACAATAAAATATGTATTAATAAAATCTTAAGACCAATTACAGAAACTCATTATGTACACATTAGACACTAACGGCGTTACTATATATCAGTACTTATAACATTTCATTTTAAAAATTGTATAAAAATCATACAATTTAATAATAATAAAATTAAATTAAGATTGGACAAAACATAACAAAAAGACAAAAAAAATAAAAAGAAACACTTAATACCCATACAAAAGGGTATTTAAGAATTAGTCACATGATAACTTTATGAAGTGTGGATTTGTCTGCGTGTATGTATGTTTGTGTGCGAGTTGTATGTATGTGTTTGTGTGTGTCCATGTCCATGCAGCTGCAATACTATGACTCGTAACGAGATGCCGGGCGCCGCGCCTCCGGGCACTAAAAACGTTTTCCTTTCTTTGTTTATTTGTTTCTGTGCAGGTACGAGAGAAAGGGTCTCCTACAAGACCACGTGAAACGAGTGCACCGGCGCGTGGAAGTAGATGAGTCTGCGAAGATGAAGTGTGACACCTGCGGCAAACACTTCAACAGCAGACGGGCTCTAGTGAACCATATTGTGAGTCAAAAACAACCATTACATTTTGTATCTAAAAGCTTGTCTTTTTAGTGTTCTTTTGAGCATCCCACAGAAACCTAACATTTTGCGCGATAAAAAGATCTAATGATGTGCCTAATTTCATCAAGACCCGTTCAGCCGTTTTATTGTGAAAGCGCAACAATCATCCAAACAAACTTTCGCATTTATAATATTAGTAGAATAAGTTCCCGATATCATTATCTAGTAAAAAAATAAAGCCGTTACGTGTTCATATATTAATTTGGCCATTATCAGTTGTAAGGCTGCATTACATGTTTATTTCATAGCAAAAACAAGGTCGGTCCTAGAACACTCCCTTGCGAAACTTCCTTATATCCATCATTCCTTCTCTACCTGACTTTCCCAATTAACTCAGTCCCTTGAAAGTTATCTATGACATTCAAAAAACTAAGTTAACAAGGCCTTTTTAAAGTTGTACAAGGTTCAAACTTTGTCAGAAGCCGTTTTTGAATCTAGTTAAAAATATAGCTTTCCAAACTTAAAAGAACTAATTCAATCAACAATAATTGTAAAACACCTTTTGAATGGCGCTTATGCCTATAGGCTCCATTTTTTTTGTTATTTTTCTCTTTTTAAGATATATTTCTTGCGTCCCAAGATCCTGTAAAAGGTAAAACATCGCGCCTATTATTACTTATTACACTTTAAAAAAGTGTTTTATTAAACCTATCTAACTGATTTGTTAACATTAATTTTTTTTTCAGAAAGCCGTCCACAACAAAAGCACTACATGTGTCTGCGGTATTTGTGGCAAACATTTGGCGTATAGCGCAAACCTTAAATCCCATATGAGGTCCCATCTAGACATCAAACCATACAAGTGTACTTTTCCAGGATGTAATAATAGGTATAAGGAAAAGGTAAGTCTTCAGCAGACTTATAGGTTTAGACTTAAAGAAATTTATTCTTAGTATTGAATGAGAATTACTTTAATGTAAATGTTGATTTTTATGTTCAATGCTAATGAGTTTCTTCCGGCCATTCTTCTTATCATCAACTAAAAGATGTCCTGAACGGGTGGTAGGAAAGCGATTTGAATAAAAGATCATTTCATTAAAAAAATACAATTTCTTGAAAACATTTTCACAAAAGAAAAGTACGTTTATAGTCATAGTAACAATAACATAGTTAAAATCGCAACATAAACTTGACTATTTCTTAATTATTCAAAAAGACCCGTTTAATGCATTCTCTTCTTTGAAATCGTTGGTTTGACTCTAAACCCAATATGGTAGATTGAGTATTTTATCGTTTCCTACAATGTCGGTGCATTTTATTCTATAACTGACATTATTAATTGACTATCTTATTTTGTTAGTTATTTCAATAATTTCGATTGACATTAATTAACACTGATCTGACAGTTGTAATTTTGCAGAAGATAATTTATTGTAATTCGCTTTTTGTTGTATTTTAAGAATTTATTATTGGCAGGTGAAATTTATGGCTTAATGCTAATTAATGCATTGATAAATTTTGCATGCTATTGTAAATGCCAGAATGGGCCGAACTTTATATTTGTAACATCTCCAGTGTACCCCTATTCTAAAGCAAATAAATAAATTCAAATTCTAATGTTCTAAAAATGATTTCAATTTAAAATATAAACTTCTTATCTCCCCAATAGAGTTCAGTGAAAAAACACGCTGTAATACATTATCCAGAACAGCAAATGTATTGCGACGAATGTGGTAAAGGATTTACACGCAGAATCAGATTGATAAGGCACTTTGCTCAACACGAGCCCAAGGTTAAGAACACAAAATGCACCTTCTGCGGAGTATGGTGAGTCCATTTTTGTTCAATTATCAGGATATTTTTTGTGTACAGGCCTTCCCTATGGATGGAATAGGGAGATTGAAAAACAGGGTTGCAAATTATCAAGATAATTATTATTTTCACGGATTCGATAATTATCCAGCAATGAATAAATAATTGATGCGTATAAATCAAAGCATTTTTAAAGCGTTCGGCTGCGCTCGATGAAGTAACGCAACTTTTGCAGTGGTCGATCATTGGATGGGTGGCCAAAAATATACCATCTCGAGTTCCTCCGTGCTTTCGAAGGCACGTTAAGTTGTTAGTCCCGTCTGCATCTGCAGTCGTTAGCACACACCAATCCGGACTGGGCCCGTGTGATGGGTCACGGCCCAATCTCTCCATTCTATCCATAGGGTAAGCCTGTGTCCCAGCAGTGGGGACATTAATAGGCTGATGATGACAATGAAGGTTTATTTTCGTGTGTGAGAAAAAAGCTTTCTTACTTTATAAGCGGTTAAGCTTTCTTCTAAGTCACTTTGAATAAATCAATCATTTAATTTTCGATCAATTTATATACATACTAGCTGACCTAGCGAACTTCGTACCGCCATAAAAATTAAAATTTAGGGTTGTATGTATTTTTTAATGCCACATTATAAAAAAAACCCAAAAAAAATTTTATGGTTGTGTAACGTAGAATTCTATCAATTTCCTGGGATAACATTCTTCCTAACCCATATGAGACTAAAGACACTACGTTACAATACCCAATATTTTAAAGTTTGGCGCGAAGGCGCATTGTAGGTTTCAAAAGACTACGTTACAGGTGGACAACCATTATCAATTAAGGATATGAAAAATAGATAGTAGCCGATTCTCAGACCCACGGAATATACATATAAAATTTCATAAAAATCGGTCAGGCCGTTTCGGAGGAGTATGGTAACTAACATTGTGAACACGTGTTTTTATATATAAGATTTTCATTTTATTCCATTAGCTTCTACAACAAGAACTACTTGTTGAATCATATGAAAACTGTTCACGGCAAGAGAACCAAACTGATTTGCGATACATGCGGCTTCGAGTGTCTCAACAAGCCCGGCCTTGTGATGCATATGAAAAGTGTCCATATGGTAAGTGCTTAGACATTGAATTATTTGGAGTTTTGCCCATGGACTAAGGATTTACCTTTTAAAACTTAAAATCCACCAATGTTTTTGATAATGTCAAGATATCGAAAGACTTGTTGTTTCATTTACGATTTTAGAATTGATGTCGAAATTCAAACTACTATTCCAATTTTATCTATAACATAATATATTTCATTAAAAGTAAAGGTCGAATTTAAAATATCTTTAATTTACTAGTAGAACCAATAGACGTTGTCCTGCCGATTAATTAAAAAAAAGAGTGTTAAAAAATAATTATTATTAAGTATTTAATTTGCTACTTATTTAATTATTGTTTATTATAAGTTTTCCTTTTAAATACTGAATCGATTTTTTTGTGGTAATCTGATAACCTGATATAAAAGCATTTTTGACGTGATAACGTCTTGTAAATCGATGAACAGTGGCAGCACGCACGAAAAAGTGTCACGTTCCGCCTGAACCTGAGCGTGCAAGCGATAGAGAGGCACGATCGGCCCAAGCGTCGGCTTGTACACATTTATCTCTCTTCTCGCGTGACGTCAGAGCTAGCAATTGTGCAATTTTTCATCAATGTTTCTTTATGACGTTATCACGTAAAACTATCGTCCGTAAACCGCCTTTACAGACAACCAATTATTTTTATGCTTAGTTTAGGCGTCAGTCTCTCACAAAGTTCTACCTAGCTACTTATAAAATAAGTGTTCAAAATGTATTTGTAAATGGAGGAGAAATAAGTTTAAAAAAATTGTTACGACCTTTAGTCAAAATAACTGTCGCCATACATCTTGCTATATCTGTTTTCATATTTTAAACTAGCGGCCGCCCGCGACTTCGTACACGTGGAGTTAGTTAGAAATAAAGCTTCACTGCTCGTTCCCCGTAGTTGATAGCGTGATAATATGAAGCCTATATGTTGACCCGACTTCTGAAAATATTCGTGCCAAATTTGAAGTAAATCCTTGCAGTACTTTTTCAGTTTATCCCGGACATACATACAGATAAACAGACAAAAATTCTAAAAACTATATTTTTGGCTTCGGTGTCGATTATAGATCACTCCCCAAGTATTCTTTTTAAAAAATATTAAATGTACAGTTTTGACTTTCCTACCATTTTATTATATGTATAGATAAATGTTTTCTTAATGGTGGCTATAATTGTAACTTCAAACATAGTCCTTATGTACAGGCTCATAAATTTCAAAGCTATAGCTAATGTCATTTCAACAGGACAGGCAGTGTCGCATATGCAAGAAATCGTTCAAAAGAAAAGGCAATTTGGCCAAACATTACCGTTATGCGCACAATACTGCTGTTAAAACGTAAGCACTTCCAAATTTTTTTATTTAAAAAATGATTGTTTTTTTATATATAGGTCCGACAAATAACTCCACCCCACCTGATGTTAAGTGACGGGATGTCCAGACGTGAAGATAGCTGGTACAGCAGTTCTACCTGCCACACCAGCCATCCTTACCCTGCCGGCCTGCATGTTGCTTCTTCACGCCTCTTTTAAAAGATCCCAGGTTGTAAAATGAGGGAACACGTAAGCGGGCAGAGACAAAAAGACAAGCTTTTATTCTTTGTAAATCTATAGAAATATGTATTTTTTTTTAATATAATAATAACCTTGATTGTAAATTAGCCGTTTTCTACAATTTTTCATGCCCGCACTTCACAAAGCAAATTTAATATTTTTTTAAGCTTGTCTGCTAGATGATTAAATCTAAAGAAAATTTTACTGGAAAAATATCCAAGCTGACCAAGGGGCAGACGGGACTCGAACCAACACCCTTCGCTATCCGGACGAATGCACTGGCCATTATGCTACCGCGGCCATGATGGCCGTGTCGAGTTTTCTCTAGTACCTACTTCTTAGGCTGCTAAATTTGGTTTACATCTATTCGTATTTGTTATTTGTAAACTTGACAACAAAACCTTTACTCTCTATATTATAGAGTTTGACTAGAACAACTTGCTGTCAAAATGACAAATAGCAAAATACTATGTGTATTGCTGTCATAAAAAAGGTGGGAATTGTCGAATATCGTGGAAACCCTACTTGGAAATATCAAATAAATATTTCCAAGACACACCAATTAGTCTAGCCCCAAAGTAAGCACTGTAAGGCTTGTGTTATGGCATGATACTAAGGTAACGGATAGAATACATATAATGTACATATATTTATATAGAAATACATATTAAACATCCATGACTGGAGTACAAATGCTCGTATTCATCACACAAACAACTGCCCCCACTGGTATTGAACCCGGTACCTCTCGAGTCGGCGACACCATGAAACCCGGCGTACAAACCACTCGGTCACGAAGGTCGTCAAATGTCGTAATGAAATGCTTCATCGAGTCACGTGTTGTCTCATTCTATTGTTATCGCAAAGGAAGAGACAGCATCATCTTTACCCAAAATTAAAAGATTTTTGGATTCATTGGGTATTGAAGTTGCCACTGTATATAGAAAGATATTATCATATATATGTGTGTTTATAGCAAATCAAAAATCCGGAAACCTATGGTGGTTATAAAACAAGAGCCGTTGGACTTACCCGATTTGGAGATAGACTTACTGGACATAGACAAGGAGGAACCTTTTGCTGGTGAGTTTACCATAGAGTTAAAAAAAAATACAATATCGGTTGAAATAAAAAATAATAATAAGTTAAATATTGCAATACTCGTGATAATGAACGCATTTGAATAATTTCCAAGCACCTTTCATTAATCATTAAGTATAACTTAGTAAAACGCAATAATGATAAAGAAACCAATTAAAAGTTGACGACGCAAGACATTCTGTCCCTGTCCTGCACTTCAGAAATAATGTGCGAGAAGGACAGAATATTTCGCTTATTAATAAGAGGGTATTAGTATAGCGAATAAATCAATAAATTTTTAACTTAATTTCTGAACAATAATAATAATTATAGTAAATAATTTATGAATTCATTTGCTATACTAAACCGTCTTATTAATAAATAAATATTAAGATTCATTCAGAAATTAAATCAAAGATTTATTGATTAATTTTCTATACTGCCGTCTTCAAGCTAAAACGCGGCAAAATGACAAAACCAACTTTTGAGATATGATCAAAAAACGGCGCGTAAACATTAAATTATTGCTATTTTGTAACCATTCATCATATGACGGATTTTTAGACTTAAGCTATAAAAGATACGAATACTTATTAAAGACAGATTGATAGACAATTAAAAACTGTATAAGATGCAATTTAAAACCGAAAATCGACCACATGCCACTAAATCGCACTTTAGTTTGAGGACGGCAGTATACTATTACGCTTTTATTAATAAATAAATATTAGGCTACGGACTACTTACGTTTTGTCTCTGTTTATCGTATTACAAAATGACATTTTAAATAGTAAAACAGAGAGAAAAAACAGCCCTTGCTGAGTTTCTTGCCGGTTCTGCTCAGTACAAGGTCTCCCGCCGTAGATTTACTAACCGATGGCGTAGCTTCTAGACATTCATAAGTGCTTGTAACAGCCTAAACTGAATAAATGATTTTGTTTATTTCTTCTTTTATAAATATGAGGGTTTATCTTATTAAAACATGTATGATTTCCTTTAATGCCGCTTAATTTGGCAGAATGTAAGTAAAATACAATTATACTCAGATTTCTACGCCTGATTTGAATACATATACTATAAAAAAAAAATAAGTGTGCACGGACCACACATCTGAAGTGAAACTTGTTTCCTTAAATAACCTAACCTATATTGTCGCATTTGACGCTCATAGCGTTTCAGCCTTTGCCGAGTTACTCTTCTAGTTTCGTGGTCGTCGGAAAGAGCTGCGCACGCATCCCACACACACACACACACATACACACACATATACACACACACACATACACACACGCACACACGCACACACACACAGACACACACATACATAGTTCTGTGACGCTCGAGACGCATTTCCGTTTCATCTTTTCCATAGGATTTTTCCTTTTACACCCCGTCCGAAACAAGTTTGACTTCAAAAGATGCTCTGCATTCATTTTCTTAAAAAGATAAATTTAATGTCATTAACAAAAATGTGACCGATTCCTGCATTGGCTAATGACCGGCCCCCCCTAGCATGAGCTCCGCGCTATGTTATATAGCACGTTTTTATCACGCTCAATTGTCAAATTACTATGGAGTTTGACAGTTAAACGCGATAAAAAACGTGGTATAATGTAAATTTTGGTGCTCATGCTACAGGGACTGTTATTGGCTTTGTTTGAATACTTTATCGTTTCTCGTTGGCCTTACTTTAGTATCAAACCAATTTGATTTTTGACTCACTCTAACAACGATATTAAATACCGTAGATACACCACGTACGCTGAAAATGTGTCCCAATTGAGAAGTGCTTGAACTCCACTCAAGCACTTCTTGATTCACAGTCACGCGCGGATCGTTGAAAAGTCAAGATACCGCAGAGCTTCGTGGAAAAATGCGAAAGAAATACTTATAGTACGTAAAGTGTACACATACTATAAGTACTCAATTAATGTTTGGTAATTTAACGCATTTGAAGCAAAATTTTCAGTTCTAATACTTACTATAAACTGATTTAATAGAAAATATTTGTGATATTCAAATGCATGGACGGTTATATAGCCGTCTCTTTTCCTCACGCTCCGTACTTGCTATAACTAATAACGCATTCAGAATTGCACGTAGAGTCAAAGAAATAAAGTCTATAATGTTTCGATTATAGCAATAAGTCGTAAAATTTTACGAGCTAGCATTTCGAACTGTTGACGCATGCATTTACATTAAGACCATATTTAATATGCATTAATGGTGACTTTGAACGTTCAAATAATGCCTTATATTGTTGTTGACTATAAGATCATCTTACGGAGCTCCATGAATCGTTCAATGTACCTTTTGGACAGGTTTCGGTCACGATTTTGTTCGTGATGTTGTATCTAGGCTATTAAATATCGTTGGTCTAATTTCACATTTACATATGGTGTGAGGAGTCTTTTATATACAAGCTATTATGATCAAACCCATTTTCAGGCTTCGATATTGAATCGCGGGACCATTTCAGTACTTCCTTGTCTTCGCTCCAATCGTTGCAGCATCAGAATAGCAATGAAAATGCTACTGTTGGGGTAACTGATGGTAAGATAATTTTCTTAATAACATAAACAGAGAGAGAGAGAGGCACACACAGAGAGAGACGAAAGTTCTTTATTCAAAACACAGTTCGTTCCTAAACTCACAATACTACACTCACTGTACAGTGTACACAAGTCTTTAAACAATCCCACTTGAACGCTTTACTTGCACTTTGATCGCCTTTGTATTCGTTTTGAAATCGCTGTTGAAAAGCAACTTTTTTTTTATGTTTTATTTAACTGTTATCAATTTGAAAAAAAACTGTTCCCTGCGCGGCGCCGGACGCGCTTATATACGCCAATCGAAGCATTCCAGAAGGTCCAGTTCAATTGGGAGTTAACTAGCACACGTACCTACTTATACGTAGGTAATGCGCATGAGTTGTAAACAAGTGCAGATGTCGTTGTCCTTTCACCCTTACGCCGCATTGCATAAGGCTCATATTAGAATGAAGCGCACTCTGATTAAATCTGTTTCCAGTATGTTCGCGTTTTTGGTTCGAAAGCGTTTCTGACAATAATATATACGGTAGAATCATAGATTCGGTACGTTCTTCTTTCAGCAATAAACTCCACAGTTTGGGCAATCACGTTTTGATGGTAGCCAATTTAGTTAAGAATTTAATTGAGTAATTTGATTGGTCTGTGACGCGCATGATTCTCTTAACCTGAAACTTATTTTGATAGCAACACCAATATCCTTGTCATGAAAAGGTGATACTACTGTCAAATTAAGTTTTAATTGCAGAGAATCTTGCCAGAATCGAGCATATTAAATCATCAATCATCATTATCATCATCATTAGCCTATTAATGTCCCCACTGCTGGGGCACAGACCTTCCCTATGGATGGAATACAGAGATTGGGCCATGACCCACCCCGCGGGCCCAGTGCGCTGCTGCCGGTGCTGACGACTGCAGATGCAGCCGGGACCAACAGCTTAACCTGCCTTCACGGCAGAGCTCGAAATTGTAAATTTTTGGTCAGCCATCCAATGACCGACCACTGCGAAAGTTGCTTCAACAATCGCAGCCGAACGTGCTAAGCACTTGCCATCGAGCTCCTCAAATCAAATAATTAACACATTTCCTTTTATTTCAATGCTGCTTATAGTGGCAGAATGTAAGTATATCATACACAACTATACTCAGCATAATTGCACTATCATAATCATCAGACTAACAATGCCAATGATGGGAAACAGGCCACCCCTATGGTATAGGGAGATAAATTAATCTAAAGAAAATATTACTAGAAAAACATCCACGCGGACCAGGCAGCAGACGGGACTCGAACCCGCACCCTTCGCTATCTGGGCGAATGCGCTGACCAATTATGCTACCGCGGCCCTGACGGCCATGTCGAATTCTTTCTAGTCTTTCTTAAGCTGCAAGGCAGCGCTATCTCTTCGCATTGTAGGTAACCCGCAATGTCAAATGAATACTTTTACAAGTATTAAACATTTGAAACAAGATATAGCAAATATAGTTATAATTTTGATTTAGTGTATTTTTATTCATTGTATTCGCCCGTATAGCGAAGGGTTCGGGTTCGAGTCCCGTCTGCTGCCTGGTACGTGTGGAATTTTGCTAATATCAAAGAAAGCAACAGGTAGACGCTTGAAATATTAATTATTCAGACGATATTTAAAAAGAATAATTATTTAGTACCCAAAAGGAGGAGAAGACTTAAAAAATAGCAAAAAAATACAAAATTTTAATTTTAAATCTTTTTAAACATCCGAAAAAAATCAGATATGTATACTCTATATTCGTAACCCAACAATCCTACGGAGTTTCATTAAAACATTCAATTTCACCCTATATACTTCATGCGATTTAACCAGCTGTCCTATTTCCTTGGACATCTAAGGCCTATATTTGGGTAAAAAAATGTGTGCGTGTACTTGTGTACAGTGGGGGTCACGGCCGCCTGTACACTTCAAAAAATCTTTCCTGTGCAAGCGCTAGACGGGTGATACGGGCCCATCCTGATTGGTCGTAGTATTTTACTATAACCAATTAGAATAGCGCTGCACGGGTGCAGTTATGAATGGTGCAACAACAATGTTTATTTGTTTACTTTAGTCGGTTTTTGCATTTCGCTTATTGTTGACGCTTCTTGGATTGTTCGATTTACGTTTGACCCCGCATTATTTTTAGACTGATACCTGTTTTTACTTAACGATGGTGCTAGAAACAGGACATTTGTTTGCATAACGTGACCTTGGCGAGAATTTGGACCATGTCTTCAAGAAACCTCTCTATACAAGAGAGGAGTCGCATAATAGCTTTGCACGAAGAAGGGCTGAATATTAGCCAAATCTCCAGAGAGCTCGGATTAACGGTAAGAAAACGTATTAATAAACTACTGTTAATTTTTCTAATAGATTGCTGATATTATTTTATTTATAAAAATATATTTTTATAGATAGACAATATAATGAGTGATATTGAGAAATATTTAGCTATCGAAAAAGTAACTTTGTTTTACAAACTGTCGTTTTAAAATCAACGATAAACTTAAAAACCGGCCAAGTGCCAGTTGGACTCGTGCAAGAAGGGTTCCGTGCCATTATTTATACAACATTAGACACTATATTATAATATCGAGCAAAAAATGGCAAAAACACGTCTGTTGTATGGGAACTCCCTTAAATATTATTTTAATTTGAAAGTGAATATGCAACTAAATATTTTGTGAATATTTCAAGCGTCTATCTGATGCCGTTATTAATATAGAGCAAATTTATTTTATTCTATTTTTAGTATTTGTTGTGATAGCGGCAAAAGAAATACATCTTTTGTGAAAATTTCAACTGTCTAGCTATCACGGTTAATGAGAAACAGCCTGGTGACAGACAGACAGACGGACAGTGGAGTCATAGTAATATTGCAAGTAACTCAAATGCAACATGGCATCATATTTTTAAATTATAGATAATTGCGAATATATATCGATAGTTAAAAACTCATTTTAAAATGAAAGGAGAAAGAAATAAACGCATAATCATAAATTCTGTTTGAGATAGATTTATTTAACGGCTTGTTGCAAATAACTATTTTTAAGTAGACGTCGAAAATTACTTTTTGTTATTTTGTTCTTCCTGATAGATATTGAATCTCAGACACTCCGAAGTGTTGCCAAACCGTTGTAGTGTCACTGCTGGCGTCGCGTCGCGCGCGACACAGCGAAGCAAAGAGCAACGTCGCGCGTAATGTTTTGACGCTGTCTGTCTCTTTTAGTATCGCACAAACAATACGAGTCCTCGCTCATCAGTCATAAAGCTGAATTTGCTTTTTCATTTTCTATTAGATTCCTTTTAGCGGCTTGGCAACATTGCAAGCGCCTACCAAGGACATATAACGTCCTTGGTGCCTACCGAGTCAGGTTTTGTAATAAAAAGTATGTTTGTTGGATTCTTGTCCAACGATAGCTCTATGAAACAAAACATTTGCGGAGTTGCAAATTTTATAAAATAAGCTACCGATCGATGGATCTACGCCTATGCATGTAGAAAAGACTAGAATAATAAATATAATTTTATATTCTTTCTTGAATGTATTTTTTTTATTTATAAATCACATGATACTTAAAAGATAATAAGGCAATCAATTACGTGACTGTTTTTTTTTTATAATTTGAGACTTTTTTTATCCATTATAAAATTAATGGCGAAGTTATCGATTTTGCTTTATTTAGTCACTATTTCGCTTATGACTTGTATGACTCTATATGTATTTAATTATTTTCAACTCTTACATTCAATTTAGAATATAGTTTGAAGATTCAGAAGTTAAAGATTAAATTGTTAATTTTGTACTTTATTGTTACAAAATAATATCTTTCTAACGTTGTTACTTCTGAGGGCCTACGTTAAAGTATTAATTTTTATCCAATTAATTAAATACATTAAATTTTGATCATTACAGATCATCAAAATAAATAGGTATCACGAAAGATATCTCTTAAAAACGCTCCTATTCGTTGCTGCCGCGGCTAGCCTAGTCATACCTATATAGGTAGTGCCTCGAGCAAGAGCCGGGCTTTACTCTAATCGCCGTAGACTGAAAAGAATAATTTCGTTTTTTTGTTTAGCTCAAATATGTAATTATGTCAATTGACCTGTAATTTATGAATTTTAGTAAGTGTGAAAAATACAGCTTCTGCCGTTTTAAATTATTAGAAATGAATGAAAATTAATAAATGAAGTAAAAAGAAAAATAAATAAAACTAAACAAAAATAATATACAATAAATCCAAAACTGTAATACAAATATTAATATAAAATTCCATTCAGGTTAAAATATGAACAAAAAAACCTAATTATATGTGTATTATTTTGAAAAATCTTAGTTTATAATAGTGTTTATTGAATTATTTTCTGTTATTATTTATATTTTTTTATTGCAGCGAAATACTGTGCGGCTATGGGTGAACCGTTTCGGAGACGAAGGACACTCGACACCCGATCAAGACAGCCCCAGCAACCATTTTCAATTTCAGCGGAACAGGCCCCCGAAATTGACTGCTCCGTCCATACCGTAAGAAGAACTCTCCAGCGTGCGGGAGTGCATCACAGACGGCCAGCGAAAAAAATAATTTTAAGCGAAAGAAACAAAATTGGTGGGGTGCGATTTGCGAGAGAGTACCATGATTTTGATTTCTCACACGCCATATTTGCCGATGAAAAATGTTTTAAGTCCAGTCAATTAGGACGGCGGTATTTGTGGCGTGTGGATAACACACGGTACGAGCCCCGTAATGTTAACCCCAATAACGAATCGGGCAGGATTTGTGCCAACATGTGGGGTTGGATGAGTGCTGCTGGTCCGGGGGAGCTTGTTGCTATTTTTGGGAGGCGTTAGTCCTCCAGGCATACCTGGAGCTCTTACAAGAGGCATTAATACCTACCGCGCGGGTGGTATATCCGGAATCGGAAGTACCGGAATTGATTTTCCTTCAAGACAATTGTCCGATCCACACTGCGCACGCGGTTCAAAATTGGCTCCAGGCACAGCCCGATATACGAACGGTGCGATGGCCCTCCCGTTCCCCTGATCTAAATCCCATCGAAAATATGTGGGGAATAATGGTCCAAAGATGGTACAACCGTAATGAAAGGACGAGAGAGGCACTCGTCACTCACTGAGTAATAGTTTGGGAGAGCATACGGGGTTCTGACCTTTGTGAAAAATTAGTCAATTCAACGAGGTCGCGACTTGATGCCGTCATAGACGCCAATGGTGCCGCAACTAAATATTAAATAAGGGCCGATAGTAAATATTATTATAAGTGTAAGAGTTTTTATGTTTGGATGTTTGTTACTCAATCCCGTAAAAACGGCTAAACGTATTTGGATGAAATTTAGCACATATATAGTTTATTTTTTGTAATTTTTATTCCGATTAAAGGTTCCCGAGGGATTTTATTAATTCTAAAGTTCACGCAGAGGAAGAAGCGGACAACAGCTAGTAAATAATAACTAAGTAAAGAGTATGTAGGTATGATGTGATATATACAGGGTTAATTTTAACCTACCTGTAACCTCTCAGTACTAAATAGCTAACATCATACACAACAACGTTTGTTCTACGAGTTTTGAAAATTCGTAACATTTTATTTCCATACAAAGATAAATGTTGATTTTTTTTGTATGAAAATAAAATGTTTAGAAAATTTGTATTGATCAAAGTATTGAGTTATGTTAAAACTCGTAGAACAAACGTTTTTGTGTATGATGTTAGCTATCTAGTAGTGCGAGGTAACCGGTAGTTTAAAATTAACCCTGTATTTTGTAATCTAAGTAAGTGTAAGTTTTAAGAGCTTAGAATAGGCGTTATTCTAAGTTTGAGAGTTTATTCATTTATTTATATATTTGGGAAGACTTACAGTACATGAAACTTATTTATAGGTGCTTAATAAAAAATGAACAATAACAGGTTTTCTCATTTTTAACAACAATAATAACTATAAATAAGTAACTAATAATTATTATTTAAGGAAAAGTTCATGTTAGAAGAAATGACACTTCTAATTTAATTGAAATCTAGGCAAGCGGTAGCGTGTCAAGCCAAGTTCAAGCTAACAGAACTGGCGAGTAGCACCGTGTGTAATATTACATACAATCATTTGGAGCCACTTTTGATTCCCTTATAACTCAAAAACTATTTCACATAAACATGTCAAATTGGGTTCATTTATAGAGAACTAGCCAAGTCAGACCTTAGGTCTCAACATAATTATCGTAAGTTATAAGAAGAAATGTTATTTGGAGTTGTTATAAAATATTAGGACTGACAATTAAACTTGGCATCCATTTAGATCTTACTTCTTTTGTCATTGAAGTCAACAACCAAGGTAGGTATATATCATAATATTGAACTTGGCTATCATTTCACATTTATGTTTTTGGTGGGATATATTATTAAATCTGTGATTGCAATATTTCACTAGTTTTAAACGGATTTTATATGAATGGCCTCAAATATTTTTGCGCCTCATAAAAACGAATTGTGCAGCAACAAAATATTTGACAGCCAATTTGCAAAGTCATCATTATATTAAGTACTTGTACCGTAGTATTAGACTGTTTATGTTTTCAGAGTTTATATTTCTTTAAATTGGTATTATCAGGGTATCAATTTTAACCAAAAGTCATGTAAATTATAAATATCAATTATATAATATGATATTTAAAAAAAGGTTTTGCTTCCTTTATTATCTGTTATTTATTTATATTCCAAACGAGTATGATTGGTTTTACATTAATATAAGGAATAAAAAAGAAATCCAGTACACAGAACTCAGACTCAAAATTCGTGTTGACTGATGTAATAAGAGAGATTTTTTATATATAAGTAGCTACTTACGAATATACAATACATGTCAATAGTCAATCGTTTATTGCAAACTAAGTATAGATATATCTATCTTACTGCGACAGATACATTAAATGGAAAATTAAATTATAAGTGCTTTAAACTTAGTCGCCCTTTTCGGACACAGCAAATTGTTAGAGGGCTTTTAAAATAAATTGACATGTAAAATTAAATATAGAAAAATGACAAATCGTCATGACAATATTATTAATTTAGGTAATTCATATTTTGTCACGTCCTTAGATCTTCCTTATTATGGTGATCATTATCATTAAGTGTAAGTTTTTTTTTATTGATTTTACTAAGTTTACCGTTTTAGTATTATTGTTGTTAAAAATAAATATATTTTTTTTTATTAAAATTGTATTTTATTCAAAACGCTTTACTACTCAAATACTTAAAATTAATAAAGATTTAAAGCAAGTGTAGTGTATAGACATAGACTATTTTGCTGGTAAAAATTATTATCGCTCCCTGTTTCTGTAGTAGTGATGATTACGTTCTAATTTTTTAATATTTTTTTTGGGATCGCGACCAAAGTGTGACCAATGGGTGAAAGGAACCCTATTACTAAGCCTTCGCTTCAGGTGCGGTCGCAGCCTGAAATTTTGGAGGGGGTCACTCACTACACTAATAAAAAATAGATATCTGGAATAAAATAAACATTATTCCACAAGACACTTTTTGACACAAGATTTTTCAATTTGACCTCAGGTTTGGGGGGGGGGGGGGTCATGTCCCCTGTGACTTTTTTAAAATCATCAACTTATCACCTTCTTTTGTTTGATAGAGTTCGTTCGTTGTAATTTAATACCTGTGATTTTTGAGGCAAATGAGAACAGACAAAAGTAAGAGATAGATATAATTATTGTAAACACCAACGCTCGTGGCAGTCGCATAATATTTACTCTTGATCGCACTGAACTGGACTTATGGATGATGCGCCGGGTAAGGCCCGTAAGTGCGAGCGAGAGAAAATATTATGCGCGACGTTGCTCTATGCCGCTACACAGCTACCTACAGCCAGCGGTTTGGCAACATCTCGGGATTTCTGTGATGCGCGTGCGATATCGAGACCAAATAAAGAAATAATAAAACAACAACAATAATCAACGCGTAATTTTACATTTGGTTTCGATTTTAATATTGAATACATGAATCTGGTATAGCCATATTTTTAAAGTAAACCTATAGCCTCTTTACTCTCAAATAGTATGAGCTTAATAATTATTTCTTTTATTTTTATTATGCTCTTGTAAAAATAGGTACTAGCTTTCCGTCAGCGGCTTCGCACGCGCAGAACAAAACTTTGATCATACATTGTAACCCCTTAGAGTATAAATAAAAAAATACTACCATTTTCTATTTCTCTAGGTAATTAGAAGCCTAATTAATTACCAACTCCGATATTAACAACCTTAAAAAAAAAAATTTTAAATTTATTCACCTTTATCCCCAATTTAAGGAAGTTTCCTAAAATCCTTTTTAGGCAACGACTCCTAATAATTACCTACTTTCGTGTAAAATTTCACCTTCATATTTAAACTTTTAATTTAAATTAAAGTTGATGCTGTCACTTTCTTTGTAGAAACAAAATTTCTTGGTAAAACAAAATAAGACAACACGCGACTTAATGAAGCATTACCTTTAATTGACGCCTTAGAGTGCGGCCGTTAGTGACATATAAAATATCACTGAATTATTCAGGAGTTATGATTCTTATAAATAAATAAGTTGTTAAATAATCTACAGAACTCTTACTTCGTAAATAGCACGAACGATTACAATTGTTTCCGGATTTTGATGTAGGTAATTGAAAAGAGGACATTCACTAAATCATTTACGAATTCCTAACAAAATGTAATATCATGAGCATACATTCATCACAACACAACCGAACTATTGCTGTTCATTCATAAAAAGTCGAGAGCCCGCCCACTAACGAATCGTACAAAACGAGTGCATGGCAAAATCGCCTTAAAGCTGGTCAGGCGGCCGTGACCGTGTTTGTACACACGTAAGAAGTGAAACTTCTTTATGGCCTTATTTTTTTCGAAAAATTATCTACATGCAACTTTCCAGAAATATATATATAGGCGTGCGCTAAGATTTTTCAAAAACTCACCCACTAAAGGGGTATAACTACACCTTACCTTACCTTACCTTACCTTACCTTACCTTACCTTACCTTACGTTACCTTACCTTACCTTACCTTGTGTGAAACACGAATATTTGCTGTCGATACTTTTTTTTTTAAAGTTGACAGAAGAAGCAATTGTTCGGATGAGGTAAATAGTGCTCTTTTAAAAAAAAGATGGCGCGTAACCAAAAAACGTGACGCGTAACCGAAAAAATGTGACGGTAAATTTTTTTCCAACGCCGATAAAGAAGTTTCACTTCAATAACTGTTTTTTATGTCAACAGATAAAGTGGAACCAATAACTTCGGAAGATACAGAATCTCAACCGCAATTTGCCACAACGCAAGTCATACAAGGGGCTACACCAAGCGATAATGGCCAAACTAAAGGTATTTATACAAAACGTATCTCTAACCTTTTTTTTTTTAATTTTGCACATAAGGCAAAAAATATGTCCACTTCAACATTTTTTTAAATAAAAAAATAATAGGAATGATGTTTTGGTTCTAAGCGCGTCTAACAATGAAACCTTTACCGGAGAACAGTTAATTTTTTGCAATATTCATCAAAGCATCATTGAGTTTTCAGAATAATAATTAGACTTTTAAATATTGACTTGTTATCCCTTGCCTTTCCAATGTAAGAATAAAAATTTAAAGAAAAACGCGATAATTTTTTTTGTTAAACTACCTACCTAATTAAAGTTTATGTAACTTACGTAAACACGAGTGGAGGCGCCTAAACCCTCATAACTTGGGTTGCGGGATAATAATAATTTTGCGTGCTCAATACTTATATGGAGAGGCTAACCCTAGGCGTAGGTTGAAAGTGGACTGCATCTGGGGGGCGGTAATACACAATCATATATTATTAAAAATACAAAATAAACTGCGCATTGTAAATGCCTTGTCTAATTAAGGAAGAAGAAAATGGTTGAAGAACTGGATACACAGGTGTTCGATAGCTTAGTGACTTCTATATATGGATTTCTCAATAAAAATCGGATATTCAGATTGTAGAATTATTCTTAGTAAAATACAGATCTTATTAAAAATTATGTGCGTACGTTGTCTTTTTTTGAATTCCAATCAAGAGGGAGAGTGAATCTATATATCAAAATGACTGAATGTAGTAACGAATGGGTACGAAATGAATGTATGAATGGACGATGATGATGGACCGATTGTAGCTTCTCCCTTAGAAGGATAGATGGCGTTAAATACAGGAAAGGAACATGCGCACTTACCTCAGCACACCATCCGTGGTCGCAAGTCGTCCTTAAGGCACTAATATCAAATAAACCGTTGACCGGCACAGATTCTGTATTTATATATATTTTACGAGGAGCTCGATGGCGCAAGTGGTTAGCGCGTTCGGCTGCGATCGTTGAAGTTAGGCAACTTTCGCATTGGTCGGTCATTGGATGGGTGACCAAACATTTACTATCTCGAGCCCCTCCGTGCTTCGGAAGGCACGTTAAGCCGTTGGTCCCGGCTGCATCTGCAGTCGTTAACACCCACCAATCCGCACTGGGCCCGCGTGGTGGGTCATGGCCCAATCTCCCTATTCCATCCATAGGGAAGGCCAGTGCCCCAGCAGTGGGGACATTAATCCTGATTGGCCGTCTTAAATCTAGTGATTAATTTTTGTTCTTAGGTTAAGTTTATTTTTTTATTATTTTTATGTTCTCTGTTTCTTATAAACAAGATGGCCAATAAAGATTTTTTATTTCATTTCATTTCATTAATAGGCTGATGGTGATGATGATGATGATATATTTTACAATGTAAAGTGTTCACGAATATGAATGATCGCACAGTTATTTTGGGATATTACATCACAACATGTGTCTTCCATTACAACGTTTACATCAGAGACGGAAAAAGTATAATGTCCTATGCACTCCGCGGTGTCGTCGAAAGCAGGACGGCCATAGCTAAAAGTGCACATGTATGAAAAGGATGGGAGACAGATTGGATTAAGGCAATGAGGGCTACCGTTTTCTGCCTCACCAGATGGCGCCACTGTTGAGTGAGGTCCTAAATTGTAACTTTTAAAGTTTATTAATACGCACATGAAATCAAAGGTTACATTTAGATCGTATTTTAACACAAAAAAACCATATCCTAAACATAATAGGCCATGCCACAGTGACGCGCAGTTCCGTTTTATTCGGAAAAAATGGGAACATAATCATTTTTCTAAGCTCAAATTTTTAATAACTGACATTCATTGCCACATAACTCATATTTGCCATAATTAAGCCGAATTGTTATCAATTATTCACAACATTATTTTAATTAGAAATAAACCCGCGTAGTCAACCAACAAGCAATAACATTTGACATTTCGGAGACCTCACGCTACACTTGCGCCTCTAGCGGCGGATTTATACGCGATAGCCCTCATTGCAAGTGCATAAACTGCCCTATAATGAAATTATTAAAAGCCCGCCAAATACGAAATCCAACAACGTCTTTGCTTCCCGGTTTTGGGAGGCATTTTTTTTAAACTGTGAATGCAGTTCTAGTTATCATTAAAAATAAAATGATGTCTTCTTTCAGTAAAATAACCTATTTTCAATATTTATTATACTTTCCCTCTGTATGACAAACCCGTGGGACGCCCTGTATAGTTTTATTGATAAATACATACTTCTAGTACAAACACAAGAATCGACATTTGCACCAGAAGAAACTGAGAATACGTCACAAGCGAACCCGGTGAACAGAACTATGCAGGTCGACGAGTTCATACAACACATTATGTCAAACAATGACATTCAGGAAGAAGGTAAATATCGAACTGAACGAACTTGTAGACTTACCATAGTCGCAAGTTTGTCACCAATAGGGTGATGACTATTTTTTTTTCTTCGTTTATCAGGTAGATTATCAAAAAGTATTGGACACGTATTTTTTATTTTTTCACGTAATATAAACATTGCAGAGATATATTGATTTTTCGATTGATGAAAATTCGCATGACGTCACGTTTTACTGTACACTCAAAAGTGACGTCACGACCCCTACTCCCAAACTTTGACGCGCTATAACTTTGTAATTTTTTGGTCATTATTTTTTGATCATCTAACTGACGGACTAAATAGAATTTCGTTTACTGTACCCCGTCATCACCCCTATTCTGCACGAATGACACACAAGGTTTTTCAACACATTTGCAAGAAAACAGTACTTTTAACTAACTAGTGGCCCGCCCTCGCTTCGCTTCGATGTAGAACTGAAGTGTAGACTATAGTTTTTCTTCTTAGGCTTGTATTATACACAATGACATTCTTCTTATACCTAATTACAATAGGCACGCGCCGCCAGCCCCCCGCCCGGTAGCGTCGGAACCGCTATGTCCCTGCATTTTAAAATCTATAATATCTTCGAAAATATTCATTTAAATTACATGCTTTAAAGAGCCAAATTGGTCTATATTAAATTCACAATGTATTTAAGGTACTTAATTGGTTAAGGATGAATGTTATATTGCTGAAAATCGCTTCGTAAATAATTTGTTATGTCTCGTAAAAAGTATAGGATAAAAAATGTTTATTGCGGGTTATCCCTAAGAGATAGACATTTACCATCGCGGACTTTTATGTAGGCCTTTTTAAGGTGTACAATACCATCGCGGATTTTTTTGTAGACCTTTTTAAGGTGTACAATACTGTAGTACATTATTTTGATCTATCTCGTAGGGTTCAGCCAGCGTTTGCAATGTAAGCGCATAAAATGTGTTTATTTACGACCTTACATTAAAAATCTCTAAAATTATCAGTTTTTCTCTACTATATTATGCATGTATTATACATATAAACCTTCCTCTTGAATCACTCTATCTATTAAAGAAAACCGCATCAAAATTCGTTGCGTAGTTTTAAAGATCTAAGCATACATAGGGACATAGGGACAGACAACGGGAAGCGACTTTACTTTATACTATGTAGTGATTTAAATAATGAAGCAAACTAAACATTTTTAATAAGAAAATGGCGCGCATTTCCAAATGGCGCCACGTGCGGGTGGTGAAAATTAGAACCACATCTTTCGTCTCTTTCTCTTTTTAGTATTAAAGTGAGACAAAGTTATAGATTAAAAGCGCTTTCAAGAAGTTTCGACCGAAATCAAACAAACCGTAAAGGATACGCACGGCGCCATGTATGGGTGCGGTAAAACGTTTTATTGCACTCCGTTGTATGGCCCTTATTTTAAACTTTTGAACAATGCATACAAAATGCGTTTTTTGAGCAAGTTTTTTGAAAAAGCTCTTTCACACAGTTCAAGTATCAATTTTCTATAAAAATAAATATTTTCTGATACAGTCATATCTCAACCCGAAGACACCACAGCGAATGCCATTTCCGAACCTTCTACTAACCAAGCGGAGCCGGGGCGCGCGGCTATGCCCGTAGACGAGTTCCTACAACACATGATGTCTGACACAGAACTACCTTATGAAGGTAAGAAATATTCATACAACATTACTGCCTTACTAACTCTTTCTTTCATTCTTCGGTTCGTTCCTTTAGAATTTTTCGTAAAGAACCTACAAACTATTTTGTCATGCCCGTCGAATAGACAACATTGCCACACACCAGGGATGTTACGCAGCTTCGACTCCGATTCCGTTAAGACGGAACTGCCGATTATTATAATACCTTCGGTTCCGAAACTTTTAAATCGGAGGTCGAAGCATAGCAAATAGCGACTGGGCGGTCTGCGTCGACCGTTACGAACTGGTTCATACTAGTGATGTAACGAATGTAATTATTTGAACATTCGCGAACGCGAATGCGGATCCGAATATCTGGTACCGACATTCGCGAATGCCAATATATATGTTTTTGTTCAAAATTGGCGCCAATTGTCTATGGCATGGTGGCAGTCTCGTTCGAATTGCCGAGTTGATATGAACTCATCCGACTGAAGTGTCATTCCGCTCTCGCCGGTCTTTTCGTAACAAAACAAGTGAATTTTGAGGTTACAGTTTGAATAGTGATTAATTAACATGAGTAAATCAAATTCTAGTGAAATATGGACTTATTTCACACTGCGATGCTGAACGAGCTAAATGCAAGCTGTGTAACAATGAATATTCAAGGAAAGGAAGAACTACAACTTCTTCAAATTGTTTTTTTTTATATTCATATTCGCAAAACATTCGCAGAGGTTTTGCGAATGCGAATGCGAATATTCAAAGAATATGCGAATATTCGCGAATGCGGATGCGGATAATCGTTACATCACTAGTTCATACCCGTCGCGTTGGAAGTCTGTTTTAATAATAAGTAAATTTAAAATAAAGAAAAGTTATTTTATTTATTAAAATTAAAAAAGGTTGACTGACTGATGTTTTTATTTTTTCTTAAATGCAAAAATATCTCTCTTGTGACCCCTGCTGACTCTGCCGCTGAGACTGAGCAATTTCTAACGAGAATTAATTGAAAAAACAAATTAGTGTTTGCAATTTATTTTAAAGTAGTGCGTGGAAAAAATCGCTTCCCATAAAATTCCACCCCTTTTTCACCCCCTTACGAGGGGTGGCGGGCAATGTTTATTCCATACAAACGTTCTCCACTTATTCCTCGACTTGATTTTTATCTCATAAGAATTAATTTTAATACATAAAATACAATTTCACTCATTCTATGTTCCTATGTTTTCCTCTTTTCCATAACTTGTGTTACACTGAAACTAGAAGCCCTTAAAAAAGCCAAAAAATTATAAATTTTTATCACCACTAAAGACGTCTCGTGTGGAGATTTAATAAGCATTTACAAAAAAAGCAAAACATAGAAGCATAGTATAACTACATATTATTCTATGGAAAAAATAGTAGATTATTAACCAAGGGGATAAAGCAGTGTCTTCTGTCGCGGGTGACGATTTAAATCGCGAGCGTAACGACGGACTCGAGGTTTTATCCCGAGCGTAGCGAGGGTGTTAAAAACTTAAATCATGAGCGAAGCGAGGGATTTAAGACGAGTCCTGAGTGTAGCGAGGGATTAAAGTTCACCCAAGACTAAGACAGCTTTATCGCCGAGGAAAATACTCTACTTTTCGTACCATTTGCGAAAAAATTAACACATTAATAATATGAGATATGCGTATTCCTTTTTCAAAAAGATGTATAATGCTTTATATACAAACTCAATGGTGTAAACACAGATGTACTTCAGTATAAATTTCGGTAAGTATTCCAAATTTAAATCACATTCTCCCCCTAGAGGATGAATGAAATTCAGTACAATTTTCTTTCCCTGTTTTTTTACAGATTAAAAATGACTATTGTTATGTTCGCTTTTTGTAGCATAGAATGTCACTTTTTTGAGCAAATGGTACGAAAAATCTTTTACGTATGTTTAATTTGCGAGGAGGAAATCGTCGAGAGCTATAAACCTCGAATTTTGCAATTTTATACGCAATTTTCAGCGTTAACTTCTGCTGTCCCTATCGCACGGTATTTGCCTATGCGTGACAGCAATAGGTATTTCAAATACCTATTTCTCAAATGTCTCTCAGCTCGCGTCCGCTGTAAAAGAATGATTTTGGGATAAATCTATCCTAAGTCATTTTCAGGGACTCAAGCTATCACTTCCCACATCTAAATCGGTTCAGCCTTTAAGCGTGAAGAGATAACATACAGACTGACACACTCGCAATTATAATGTTAGTATGGATGGATAGAGATGTTTGGAACTGTCCCCCCCCCCCCCCTGCTTTACTCTGCTGTCATGCGTCATGCGATAGATGTACGAAAATCTATACATATAATAAATTGGTAGGAAAGGCAAAACTGTACATTGAATATTTTTTTAAAAGAATACTAGGGGTGTGATCTACAATGGATACCGAAGCCAAAAATATAGTTTTTAGAATTTTTGTGTGTTTGTCTGCGTGTGTTTCCGGGATAAACGCAAAAAGTACTGCATGGATTTACTTCAAATTTGGCAGGAATAATATTATGAAGTCGGGTCAACATATAGGCTACATATTATCACGCTATCACCTACGGGGAACGAGTAGTGAACCGTTATTTCTAACTAACCACGCGTACGAAATCGCGGGCGGCCGCTAGTTGTAATAATAAAAGTATCATTTTAAAAAATCTTACAGATGTAGATGTGGAAAGCGAAGATTACTTGAACCTGCGTCTCAACGAGCTGATAGAAGAATCCAATAAGAAGAACGGCATTGTCAAGAAGAATGCAGCCTTAGGGAGAAAATTGGAGAAGGTACATGTTGATGGTGAGTGTATTAGTGTATACTGTTATAAAATTATATAATTTATTGTACAACGTCGATCCATGTTTCTGTGTATAAAGACTTGTTCTTATGTAAGTAAATAATGATAAAAACTGAAGAATTATATCTACTAATTTGTCAATCAGTAAAAACTAAAATTGCCCTATCTCCTAATTTGTCAATTCGTAATGACTGAAAAAACACTATCTACTCATATATCAATCAGTAAAAAGTGGTATAACCCTATCTTTTAATTTGCTAATCAGTAAAAACTGCAATTACCTTAGCTACTAATTTGCCGAATCCGTACAAACTAAAATAAACTTAGCTACTAACTAAGTTAAGCTAACTTCGGTCATTCAGTAAAAACTGAAGTAACCCGTTCTACTAACTTTAGTTTCTTGGAAATCCCACATAACCTAACCGTTGTCGGGGATAAAGTAGTCTATATGACAGTCTAGGTAATAAACTATATGTGTGCCAAACTTGAGCTGAGGAACTCGATGGCGCAAGTGGTTAGTGCGTTCGGCTGCGTTCGTTGAAGTTAAGCAACTTTCGCAGTGGTCGGTCATTGGATGGGTGACCAAAAATTTACTATCTCGAGCTCCTCCGTGCTTCGGAAGGCACGTTAAGCCGTTGGTCCCGGCTGCGTCTGCAGTCGTTAGCACCCGCGTGGTGGGTCATGGCCCAATCTCCCTTTTCCATCCATAGGGAAGGCCTGTGCCCCAGCAGTGGGGATATTAATAGGCTGATGATGATGTGCCAAACTTCGTACAAATCTTTCATTAAGTAACAAACATTCACATTTACTCCCTTATTAAAAAACGAAGACTACGCTTGGATTAGTTACTCCATCTTTTGTCTCTGCCTATTGAATAGGCGTGTCTGCGTATGAATCCGCCGCTAGAGGCGCTAGTGTAGCGTGAGGTCTCCGAAATGTCAAATGTTATTGCTTGTTGATTGACTACGCGGGTTTATTTCTAATTAAAATAATGTTGTGAATAATTGGCAACAATTCGGCTTAATTATGGCAAATATGAGTTATGTGGCAATGAATGTCAGTTATTAAAAATTTGAGCTTAGAAAAATGATTATGTTCCCATTTTTTCCGAATAAAACGGAACTGCGCGTCACTGTGGCATGGCCTATTATGTTTAGGATATGGTTCTTTTGTGTTAAAATACGATCTAAATGTAACCTTTGTTTTCATGTGCGTAACTTTAAAAGTTACAATTCAGGACCTCACTCAACAGTGGCGCCATCTGGTGAGGCAGAAAACGGTAGCCCTCATTGCCGCGCGAGGCAGCTCGGTTAATGTAGACGTGCCTCGACCGAGGCAAGCGACCGAGCGCCCGAGCCATCGAGTGTCGGTTTTTTGTTTTGCTCAAAGGCACCTCGGTCGTTTGCCGCGCGCACTCTGCACGCTCGCCAATATTGTTTCGTGCCTCGGTCGAGCATAATAATAGGGGTCATGACGGGGTACAGTAAACGAAATTCTATTTAGTCCGTCAGTTAAATGATCAAAAAATAATGGACACGTATTTTTTCTTAGGGCAATCAACCAAAAAATGACAAAGTTATAGCGCGTCAAAGTTTGGGAGTAGGGGCTCGTGACGTGACTTTTCAGTGAATTTTCACCTAAAGTGTACTCAAACGTGACGTCATGCGACTTTTCAAATCAATATATCTCTGCAATGTTTATATTATGTGAAAAAAGAAAAAATACGTGTCCAATACTTTTTGATAATCTACCTGATAAACGAAGAAAAAAAATTAGTCATCATCCCTATTATGAATAAAGATCAGTGTTTGAAATTAATATCCAACTATGGTGTAAACACCTGGCTATGGAGTGCGAGTGATCCTAATTTTACAAATGGAGGACTTAGGGAAGATGCCTGGTTAAATATTAGCAACGAGATGAACGTCGCGGTTCCTGATTTAAAAAAGAAAATGGAGTCATTGATGGGATCTTTCAGGCGGGAAAAATCACGAGAATGAACGAACAAAGAAAACTGGCTCGGGCTTGCCGCGCGCGGTAGTCTAATGACAAATGAGTGGGGCTTTGAGTGGCATGAAAAAAACACGGCGTAACTAGTCTAAGCTTATTCCTTGTTTATTAATAAGGGGGTTATAGTTAAACGAGTGTTTCATTCAACTCTCTTCGATATTTTATTTCCAGAAATTTCGAAATTCCTCTTCACAAATGTAAATATAGAGGTTGACGGAAAAATAATAACACCATTACAAAATAAACAGAAGATAATTGTCAAGAAGAAGAAGAAGAAGATTAAAAAGAGAAAGAGGATATTGGAAGAAGATATAGAAGGTTTGTTTAAAAAATGTACATTAACTACACTCTATTCAACTTCCTCTAAGACAAAAAATCAACAAACCGTAAACAGATTTTTCTATAGATGAAATTCTATACGCTTACATATAAAATCATAATAAAAAAGGTGACACTAAAAATACCTTAAATAGGGTATTTGACAGTATTAAAAATAAACTGTCAATTGTTAACATCTGTGTTTAGAATGAATATTAGCAGGGGTTTTAACGAAAAAGATAATAGTTTTCTTATCTATTGTCATGTGACCCAAAACGCTTGGGATTGGCGGAGCCTAAAATGATGTCACACGCAAGTAAACTTCCGGTTAAAGTGAAATTACATTGTTAGTTTGACGTTTTAATAACAGTCGTGTGACCTCACACACTAGTATGACGCCATATTGTCCAGAGAAACGTTTTCGCGGCAACTTGAAAATAGAGTTTTTGATTGGTTATTTTTACTGAAATACACAACAGAATGATGAATATCCACCTTTTACGGACTCCATAAACATTAGTCAATAACTTGAGATCGTTTTCTAAAACTTGTCAAATACCCTATTGTAGCTAATCCGAAACTTTGAACGCATTATAATACTACTAAGTTGAAGAGTAGTGATAAAGCAAAAAAAAATACGTTGGAATGAGAAATTTTGTAATCAGTTTAGTTACACCGGCCATCTTTATTCGCGATAAAAAGTTTTAAGAAACTTTTTTGGACGATTCAAAAGAGTTGCACTATACATCCAATTTGAATAAATTCAATTTTCAAATTCATTTACAACAGACCAAACAAGGATCATAATCGTTACATTAAATATTCAAATAAACAAATGATTCAAATCCCTGCAAGGTTTTTGCTTTGCAAATAGTATCTTTCAGAGTCGTCGAAATCGGTTCAGTAGTTTAGGCGTTAAATTGTGTAGGCAGACAGGCTGATGAATCACATTTATTTAATACCAATTTGAAAGTCTTATTAATTTTGTTGCCGGTGTTTTTGGCTGTCTGGACATCCGCTTAGCTAGGAAGAGAGTCCCTTATCTCCTCTATAAATATTTTTATCTTCAAGTCACGATGCAGTTGACTGTTTGTCTATTATAACATGTATAAATTCAAAGAATAACAAATCATTTAACTTTACAGACGATGAACTGGAGCAATACGATAGGGAAAATGAATTATACGATAAAGAAGAAGAGTCCAAAGAAAAGAAAGAGACGGAAGAAGATGCACATACTGAGAATAGTGTTGATGAAAGAGATAGCAATACAACTAAACTGAATACCGGAATCAAAATAAAATTCGACTTACATCAATGCTACGTTTGCTTTAAGGTGAGTTGTAATGCTAAAAATAATTCGAACGGCCGTCAGAGCCGGGAAATCATATTTTTTTTTGTTAACTTTTCTTTACTTAAAGTTGTCTCAGATAAAAATCCAGAATTTCTTCTATAATTCATAATTTTTCCTTTTCTTAAATCATATATTGCCTACGATAAGACCGCCTATTGAACACATCCTTCCGTTTATCGTGTTAACGTAATTTGCCTCTTATAGTATCTTGAATAAAGATTATAATTGTTTTCTTCCAACTATTTCAGCTATTCCCAACCAAACCTCAATTAATACAGCATTGCAAAGAGCACTTTGACGTTTGCAATGAGATAACATTGAAAAAGTGTCCTCTATGTAATTTTGTGACACATCACAACATAAAAAGGCACATGAAACTGAAACACAACACAGACATTAATTTCTCATTCATGCGTATAAAAGATAAAAAAGTTAACAAGAACGGATCGCGTTACTATTTCGATACAAACGATGATTCTATTAAAGAACTAGAAATAATACCTAGCATAAAAATACTGAATAAGAAAGCCAGTATGGACTTAGATAAAAGGAATAGAGAATTGAAAGACAAAAGTCTTCTAAAACGCAAACTGGTTAGGAAAGGCAAAGAGTGGATTGTGGAAACTGAAAAAATAGACGTGAGCGATCACGTTGTGCCCAAGTTAAAAAATAATGATGACTATTTAGCCAAAATGAAGAAGCTGAGCGTAGAAGCCAAGAAGAATAAAATGAAAATGCTGTACCCCTGTAATGGTTGCGAGAAAATATGCCAAAATCTGAGTGCATTGACTCTGCATATGCGTAGACATGACCCAAACGCAAAACCGTTCAAACCTAAAAAGTGGCAACACAAGCAAAAGCCTGAAGATAAAGCAATGTTGCCAGAAGAAAAAGAGGCGTCTCCACAATTAGATATATCCAATCGTGACGCCAAACCTAAACCCATATTGAACAAACACAGATGCGATCCCAAACTGAAAGCCTTTTACGAAAACAACATAAAAGGTGGTGATATTGAATTTTGGCAGTTTCTAAAGATATACAATAAAATGGACCGTGAGAATGTTAACGATTTCGAAGATTTGGAGGCTAGAAGCGATTTTGGCTTGCATTCTTACACAGACAAAACCAATAATGATAAAACAGTTAACAATAATGAACAAGAAACTACCAGTAATTGTAATATTAGTAATATAAATAGTTCTAGCAACATTAAAACTGCAAATAAAGATAATTTTGCCAGTAAAAAAGTTGGGAAACGAATTGGAAAAGTAAAATACGTTAGAAAAATACAGTTAAGCAAAGCTGAATATAAGAGAAGATGTGAACTTAAGAATAAGCTGAGAGAGAAGTTTGCTAATAATTCATGTTAGTGCAATATAGCTACAGATAAGTATGTTAAAAGAGACTTTATAATAAATAAATAGACGAATTATTAGTAGTTTTTGCCAGAAATAGTGTAGAAAATGTACATTTTTGTGTTTCCCATCACTCAAAATGGCATTTGAAAAAAGTATTTTTAGTTTAATTTATAGGTTATTTATATCTATTTTGGATTACAGTATCTTTCAATTTGTTGTCAATTGAAAACTTAGTGTTACTACAAAAAAAAATGATATATTTTAATTTTTGTATTTCCCATCATTCACTAAGGCATTTGAAGAATGTATTATTGGTTTTATTGATTACTAGCTATGCCCCTCTGTGTTACCCGCGGTTTATTGGAATAAGATATTTTCCCGCAGTAAAACGCAGCCTATGTGTTAATACAGGTTTCGGCTAACTCCATACCAAATTTAATTGAAATCGCTCCAGCCGTTTAGACGTGAAGAAGTAACAAACATACACACTTACAAACTTTCTTCTTTAGTTAGAGTAATTTATATTTCTTTTGGATTACAATAATTAACTTCAATTTATCGTCGATTGAAAACTTACGGTAATAAGGTTGAATTTGAAACAGCATAATAAATAACATAATAATGGGCTTGCTTTATATAAATTTTCTAAACCTAAAACTGAAATTGAGAACAGTACATCCTTATAATCCTATCCTAACAGCGGCCGCTCGCGACTCAACAATTTTTTCGGTATAATAAGTTTCCTATGTCTCAATCAATCCCGGTAATAAATTATATATGTATGTGCCAGATGTTATCCAAATCCGTTTAGCCATTTTTGCGTGATTGAGTTACAAACAAACATTCGCATTTAAAATATCAGTTAGGATGTAAAGAAACAAAAGGACATACTGCTCTCGAATTTAATTTAAAATTAAGTGAATCATATTTAATTCCATAAATTATGTGAAATCCTCATTTAGGATGAATTTAAATACAGTAGAACCCGTTTAACACGATCACGCTTAATACGATTTTTAGCATAATACGCAATTTTGCGTCAGGCCCTGCAACTTGAGACATGTTTTCATACATTTATTAACGCTTCATACGATTCGTCATCCCGTCTAAAACGCCTAAATCGCCAACGTACTACGCATATTACCTCTTGCGGCAGCGGCCAGCGATTGACGTGAAGACTGTCGAACGACGCACGCTAAGCGGCCCCCAGGGTTTTCCTGGATATTCTTCCATTGATTTGACTTCCATGCCGACAATGTGGCACAGTATAAAATTCAATGAGAATGTGAATAACACACAAGAAGAGGCCTTAAGCGATAATGATCAATAAGAAGATGAGTCAACTCCGATTTTGTCACACGCCCAGGCATTATCAGCAGTTAATGATTCAAGATGCTATGTAATTTCTTTGAATCAAAGCGAAGACGCACTGTAAAAGTAAAATTATGTTGAAAACCTTGTAATTTCTAATGCCAAATCTTTTTGACAAACTAAAATAAGTGATTAATTTAAATAACTTAATAATAAATAATAATACACTTAATTTTTTATAACACATAATTCTTAAATATCGTATATTTGATACCTCAATACCACGGAGGAAAAACAAAGAGGAGCTGGCCTAAGCAACTGTGCACTGTGATTTTCAACTAGGTCCTGACGTCATCATTGTGGGCGGGGCCTAAGTCAGTATGCTTTCAGCGTTCGTCAGGTGCACACTTAACGAGACTCGCATTATAAGTGTTTTTTTGCGTTTTTAACAAGAAAAGGATGAAGTTTTGTGTTTTACTATGTCAAAGTTACTCAGACAGACGTTCTGATAATATGGATGGCATCACATTTCATTTGTAAGTAATTTTATACGTAATTAAATATATAAGTTCTAGAACATTCTCAGCCTCAGCTATCAGCGTTAAAATTCTACTACTTGACACCAGATGGCGACACTTTTAGGAAGAAAATACACAAGTTTACGTATAATTTTGCAGTAGTATATTGTAATAATCATACGTAAATACTGAAAACTGTTATACACATCTAAAACAGTAATTTTATCAATATATTACTAACTGGCCGCCATCTGTCGTCATATAGAATAACTTTTTAAACGTTACAAATATCCAGGACCGTAATACGTATTAAATTATTTAACCAAGTAAATAAATTTTAATTATTTTTATGTTCGTTTTAGATTTCCATCCAACGATAATTTAAAACAGCAATGGATTTCAAAACTTAATAGACCGGATTGGACACCATAGAAGAAGAAGATATTTCCATTTTAAATGAATCTTCTGTGCAAAAAATTAATATTACATCAGAACGTTATCGCATTTTAAATAAAATGAGTTTCGAGTCTTCGGATAGCACGGATGTCGAGCCTATGCCTGACGATATGTTATTGGAATTTGATGAACAATTAAATACAACTATAGGTGACTATTTGCGCCGTCAAATAGTAGCATATATTTCTGGGTATGTGGTCAAATATTTACATTCCAAGATCAAATGTGAGAGCTGTCTCAAAGAATAATATGCTGATAACTACGACGATAGTGACCTTGATTTGATAAAAACTAAAAATAAGGGTGGTCTTACTTTCCCATCTAGAGATGTCATAAAAATATTTATACGGACCGAAGGCAGTATTCGTTGTGTTAAATCGCAATCTTTGAATACTCCTAACTTTCGTAAACATAAAATTGTATCGAATACATTAAAATCACTTATTGGACAAGATTGTTTCAAAAAATCGGCCAACCATATGTTTGACCAATCACCTACAGTTAATCATGTTGTATTTCTGATGAAATCGATTGCAGAAAAATATATTGATATTCGTTTTAAGCATTTTGCCACAATACAAAACGATAGGGCAACCAACCGACAACAACTAACCAAAACTATTATTTACAGGTAATTGATGTTTTTTAATAAAATTATGTTTGTAATAACATTTTGTCTATTATTTTTAAACTACCTTAAAATTTAAATCTAAAGAAAATATAACTAGAAAAATATCCACGCGGACCAGGCAGCAGACGGGAGCGGGTGCGGGTTCGAGTCCCGTCTGCTGCCTGGTCTGCCTGGATTTTTTTACATCAAGCAGTTACATGTTTTAAAATAATAAAAATTATACCTTAAAAATTTTAAAATCGGTCAAATTTGTTAACGTTTATTTTATTTATTTACCTACATATTTCATTTTTTTGAAGCTTCAAGTTCTGAGTACGTCCCATTATATACAAAACTTTTGACATCTAGTGTTAGATAGCTGAACTACTACGTAGTAACATAAATATCAACCTAAGCTAGTTTTGCTATTAGCCGATAGATGAAATATTGAGAAGTGGGCGGAGCTGAACACCCCGCATCCCGCAAATTATCACGCGTCGTTTCTTGAGGAAATTTAATCACCACACCTCCTCTTTGTTTTTCCTCCGTGCTCAATACCTACATTCGAAATTATCCTATCCCGCGAACCCGGATAATACGCTTTTCCGCTTAAAACGCGTTTTTGGTTGTGTACCTGTGAAATCGTCTTAAACGGGTTTTACTGTATAAAAACTAGAATTCAATGTAAAACTGATGTAAACTAACTTGAATCGCATGGCATTTAAGTTATTGTAACCCTTACAATATATTTTGTCATTTTCCTACTTTTGGGTTGAATATTCATAAATGGTGATATTTTAAATGAATATCAGTGAAGTTAAACTATAATGAATTATTTTTTTAATAATAGAAACTGGAAGTTCCTATGCACTAAATTATATAATAATGAAATCTCCCAGCAGAAGCTCTTATTATAGACGCAAATAAAAAAAAAATGTGCACGGACCACACATCTGAAGTGAAACTTGTTTTCTTAAATTACTGAATATTAGGGAATCAAGGGAATGGAGCAGCGCACACATCAATCATATATATATAATATAAATTAATATATATATACTAGCTGTGCCCCGTGCAGACCCCTTTCCCAGTGGGCACTTTGGGCAAGTGCCCAGGGCCCCGCGATCGATGGGGCCCCATTATCTTAATATGCCCAGGGCCTCCAATGGGTCAAAGACAGCACTGGCCCCGTGGTTTATTAGGAATATTTTCCTGCAGTTTTTCTTAATATCGCTTCAGCCGTTTAGACGTGAAAAAGTAACGAACATACACACTCACAAACTTTCCCCTTTATAATATTAGTGTGATTTACCGCGTGTGACGCTAGTGACTTGCAGCGTTTCAGCTTTCGCCGAGTCACCCTCCAATTTTCTTGCTTGCGAGCTGCGCACGCATCCCACATACACACACAGTCTTGTGACGTATTTCCGTTTCATCTTTTGCATAGGATTTTTCCATTTACACCCAGAATGAAGTTTCACTTCAAAAAATGCCGTTTTGGCCTTTACACCAAACGCCTCTCAAAAAGCCTACATCACAAATATAGTATTTTAATAAAGTGTTGCTTTTGCAACAAAGACAAGGCTGTATGTAATTGTAACCAATGCCTTACCAATGTATCCCTTTTGCATGTCTTCCCTCAGTTACTTCATCATACTACAATACAATAATCTGTGTAACTTAGCATAATATATGAACTTTATGTAAATAAATTATATTGTTAGTAATTTTTATTAAAGAATACTCTAAAACAATTCCTATTGCCTTATTGTTAAGGTTGTTTATTTAATTCTACTGAATAGACAAACTCTTATTTTTTACTATTTCTTTATGGAAGCAAGATTGCTGTTCTCGTGTGCAATCGTACGTAAAATGTTATATGGCTATCGTACAACTGATTAAGTTATTCAAAACTGTCAAAAAAAATCCAACTGAATCAGATGGAAATTTTTTCATGAAATAGTACATTACGATACGCGTGACCTAAGTTGCCTATTAGACAGTAATAGACAACTTAGGCCACAAGTATCGTATACTATTTTATAGCAAGTGTGACGTAAACCCGCCCCGGACGCGGGCAAGAGGGGGGGTTATATACAGCAGTTTCGATTTTTGGGGCAACAAATTCAATGTCACAGACTTCGCCACTTCTTTAATTGCGTCCGGAACAATTTCACCGTTCTTGTATTCGCTTAGGTCACTATCCGAACTGGCCATTTTCGACCAAAAGATACAATTCTCGCGGAATGAATTATAGCTAACCGTTTCTCCTTGTTTTGGCTGTCACTGAAAATTCCTAACCTATCGCTAATTTGTCATTTGTTTGCTGTGAGTTTTTAAGCTCCAAATGACATTTAAATGTGTTTCCTTTTATTTTTTCTACATGAGTGAAGTTGGTCAATTCATTTACACACCGTGCAGAAATAGGCAACTTAGGTCACGGAAAAGCGTGCGTAAAGTGCGGGTTTAGGTCACACTGTGCTATAAAAAGCTATTTGGTAGAGTTTACATTTTGTTAAATATTCACGCTTTGTCAATATAATAAACACAGAGTTTTATTGAACAATGATTTTTATTTCTTTATTCTTACATACAACATTTTATTATTTACTAGCTGTGCCCCGCGGTGTTACCCGCGGTTTATTAGGAATATTTTCCCGCAGTAAACGTAGCCTATGCGTTAATCCAGGGTGTCAGCTAACTCCATACCAAATTCTATTAAAATCGCTCCAGCCGTTTAGACGTGAAGAAGTAACAAACATACACACAAACTTTCACCCTTATAATATTAGTGCGATTAACAGTCTACTTTCTTATAATTAATTTCTGTTCATTCAGTCTCCGTGTATCTGAAACAAGTATATTTTAATTTTTCAACTCTTCTATCTGTCGAATGACCGTTTTCAGTACTGCTCATCGGCATAGGTATGTAAATTTTGTAAAACTTAATTTTTCATAAAACTAGTTTTAACGGGTTAATGCACGAAACTTTATTTATTTATTGACGTTTCGCAGCCTGACGATTACTCTGAACATATTCTGACGACGCAGACCTGAAAGGGTTGCGAAACGTCAATAAATAAATAAAGTTTCGTGCATTAACCTGTTAAAACTAGTTTTATTTAATGAGTGATGTGCGTGAAAACCTAAGAAACAAATTTATAATTTTTCATTTAGACCCAGTTGCAAAAAGTTTTAAAGGTCATTAAAATCCTTATTCTATCTCTATTTGACTTTACTTTACAATTTACAAAGATGGAATGATGTGTTAAGCAGAATTATGCTTGTATTTGAATTAAAAATTTCAATGCAATAAAATGGCCCAAAGCCTCATTAGTATAAAACTTTTACTGGTGGGAATTTTTATTCTATGTGAGTATGAGTAAATTACTGAGAAATTTTATGTAGATTACTGAGAGGACCTACATGGCACAGGTGGATACGGCATTCCACCTGTGATCGTGGAAGTTAAGCCACTTTTGCTATGGTCAGTCATTGGATGGGTGGCCAAAAACTTATTATCTCGGGCTCCTCCTTGCTTTGGAAGACGCTTTAAGCCATTGGTCCTGGCGGCATCTGCGGTCGTTAACACGCACCAATTCACACTGGGCCCGCATAGTAGATCATGCCCAATTTCCCTATTCCATCCATAGGGAAGACCTGTGCCCCAGCAGTGCGGATGTCAGTTTTTGTCAGATGCGGATTGAAAATTTGAATATTATTTGTTTCTTAGGTTTTCACACACATCACTCATTGAATAAAACTAGTTTTTACGGGTTAATGCACGAAACTTTATTTATTTATTGACGTTTCGTAGCCTTTACAGGCTACGTAGTCAGAATCAAATTTTATTTAATTTTAAAAATTAAATAAATTTTGTAATAAAATCAGTAAGGGCTACGAAACGTCAATAAATAATTAAAATTTCGTGCATTAACCCGTAAAAACTAGTTTTATTTAATTTGAATATTCCCAGAGGCGCAATGAACTATATCATGCAATACAAACCGCAGCAGCTATGTCGATCCAGTCCATGGCTTTGGTAAGGTTGTCATTTTTCGAAGGTTTCTTATCCCAATTCCAGTATATGACTTCCTTGAAACCACCAGCCACCTAAGGAAATCAGTTTTAATTATAATTAATTCCACTAAATATCACATTGCAAATTCTACAATTTAAATAGGTTAGTAGTAATCTGAGGAGCTTGATGGCGCAAGTGGTTAGCGTGTTTGGCTGCAATCGTTCAAGTTAAACAACTTTTGCAGTGGTCGGTCATTGAATGGGTGACCAAAAATTTACTATCTCGAGCTCCTCTGTGCTTCCGAAGTCACGTTAAGCCGTTGGTCCCGGCTGCATCTGCAGTCGTTAGCACCCACTAATCCGCATGGGCCTGCGTGGTGGGTCATGACCCAAACTTCCTATTCCATCCTATATCCATAAGGAAGTCCCGTGCCTAAGCAGTGGGGACATTAAAAGGCTGATGATGAAGATTAAATATAAAATATGGAGTAATAGGTAAATAACATAAGCGGTGTAACCTCCCACTTGGTAAAGTACTCCCACCATACCTGAGCCCTGTGCTGTTAGGGCAACTAAACAAAATTTCACCAAATAAAAGTCATGACTGACTTTTGGTTGTGTCCAAATCTTCAGTGTTTTGGGATAAACTGTACTTCCTGGGCCCAAGAGGTGATAATACAGACTATGTTAGGTTAGTGTTGTGAGCATGCCGGGGCAGCTTCCGGTGAAGCACCGAAGAAAAAATTGTTCGCCTTTTGAACAAAAAAATGTCAAGTATCACCTCTTGGGCCCAGGAAGTACAGTTTTACCGTCTTTTAAATAGAAACTACTAGAAATAAAGGGCACCGGTACGAGTAGGAGTACTTCACATGGTGCCCCATTTATATTATTCTCAGGAACTAGAATATTGGCCAAATCCAAGGGAGCAATCACTGAAGAAATCTTTAATTTATTTAAATTACACATCACATTGTTTTTTCGGGATGGACTCCTCAACTATTTCACCGATTTTAATCAAATTTGCAAACCACATGCAGTTTGATCCATAGTTGCGATATTATTTATTTGCAAATTCTTACTTTTGGGCAGTACAGTTCGAGTGAGCTAGTAATAGTAATAATAAATGAAATAAGTATCTAAAAGTACTGACGCTTTCATACCCAAAGCACTGAGCTGATTCAATTCATTTCAGTACTAAGTAGTAGTAAAGTGTACTTTATAATTTACCTGAAACCTCCGATCTGCATCTTCAGCCAGGGGCCTTTTCGTTTCAGTTGCTATTACAGCTCTGTAGCCTTCCGGTAGTGCAATTTTTGTTCCGTCCAATGGATAACCACGAAACGTTGCTGTTAGATCTGGAGATGAAGGTAATAAGTAAAGTTCCACAAGATATTAGACTTGGTTCAGATCAGAAAGATGGGTGTGACCAAGTATGTGAATACTTTTGGATGAATCTCAAGCTGGCAGCTCAGTAGGGCTGCTGTGTGCGATCGGACCAGGGCCGAATCGATGCAGGGCCCTGGGCGCGTCAAAAATAAGACAAGCGGAATGATTTTTATTATTGTCTCACTAAAAAAAATTGGGATTGTTAGAAAACAACAGACCTATCATTCGATTATACAATTAGATACAATTATTAACCTCGATTGTGTAGAATTAAAAAGAACAGATAAAATCTAACAATGATACAATTTATTCCGTTAAGTCTCCGCTACTACAAGAGATTGAAATTAGGCAGAAGCAACAACTAGATAAATTATTATAAACAATGAAAGACAGCAAGCACCAAGCTCTGTTTTGAGTTTTTAATGAGAAAAAAAGTCTGGATAAGATACTTATAAAAATCTGAAAATGATAAACATTATTAAGTTCAGTCTCCTCTACTACAAAAGATCGAAATTAGACAGAAGCAACAACTGGATAAATTATTACAAACGGTTGAAGACAGAAGCAAGCCAGCACCAACCTCCTTTTCGAAATTACCGCATCACAAGTCACATTTTTTTTTTATATATGTTATGGGCTAAGTGATTAATTGAGCATTGTTCATAATGCCCGGGCAATATGAATAATGCCCAAAAAATGCAGGCAATGTGATTATAAACAATCAATTCATCCCATTGCCCTGGCATTATGAATAATGCCATGGGCCTATTGGGCAGAGTGATGTAAAGCATGTTTAATACTTACAAATGAATACTTAGTTAGACAGACCGAGCATTACAAGTAATGAAACAATTATTGGGTAGAGTAATAATAAAAACATATTTATAGTTTAGTATTTATTTTTAAAATTTAAATAATCAGACTTTGGTTTTACTTCGGTCCATTTATTTGCTACATTTAGAAACTATATTTTATAGTAGTTTCAATGCAGTTTGTTTGAAAAATTCATTAAATCTGTTAAATGTTCAGAATTTATGGTTCCCTATTTTTAGGATGCAAGGACTAGGGAACTAAGAACTAGTACTTCTGCCTTATCTCCCGTGCTGCGGGAATAGCAGCCCCTCCGCCTTTGCGTGACAAAGCCACAAGCATCACTCCCCTTCACACCTTCGGCTTGCTTGGGGGGCTGCTCACCCTCCGCATCTCCGGGCTCTAAAAAACACTGTAGGGGTAGGGCAGAGCAAGACCATGGCGAGTCGGGGTTCACCAAGCCGGTTTTTTCCCTTTTTTCCTAAGTATTGAGCCCGTACTATTTTCTATTTACCAAGAACTCAAAACAAACACAAAACGGCGAGACATCTGTCATTTTGACAATAGTACTAACTTTTTGAATTTATTCATACTGCCCAATCCAAGCGATAAATTCAAGCTATCTCAAAAACTGACTTATTACATGGACCACAAGCCGTCCAGCATTATTAATAATGACCAGGCAATGTGATAAATAGGTGAGTTTAGATTGTAATTAATCACTTGGCCCGATATGGCTGGGCATTATGAATACTGCCCGCATTAATCACTTGGCCCATAACATATATATGTGGAGGCAAGATCCTTCTTGACACACCAACTATGAAGTACCTACTTTAAATGTACAAATACTAAATATAATACTATATTGTATTTATTAAAACAATAAATAAAAAAATACAAAATAGAAGTTATCTTACCTCCGCTATCATCAGTGATGTAGGGTTCAAAATATTTTTTCACGTTTGCTTCACCGTCTTCTTCTACTTTACATGGAATAAAATGTGCACGTTGCTCGAACACCTCTTTGTTGTCGCCATTCCCTAAGTTATTTTCGACTTGTATAGACATTTTTCATAAAAATATTAATGAAAACCTGGAAAATTAAAATCAAAATTGCTCAGCGCGCGGTGTGGAGAAATGTCAATCAATGTCATATGCACAGACTAGTTATAGATACTACGTATGTCATATGTCATATCTTTGTTATTTTTTTTTTGCCTGTGTAAAGCAAAGACACTTTCAATTCAGCCATACTTTGATGCAGCCTAAGTATTTTTATAGTTTTTATAGTCGTTATCGTTTAATGTTTTACCGATGGCGTCATTTCTGGCATGATTCCCTTAACTTAAAACCATATTTTTTTCATAAGTATCCTTTTCAATCTGCATAGAAAATAATATGGATACATTTCTTTTTTATAGCCAGGTAGGCAAATGACTACCCCATCTGATGTTAAGTGGTGATAAAGTCCAAACGCTAAGATAAAATGGTTTCGATTCTGGCATGATTCTCTAAACTTAAAACTAAATTTAACATCAGGCTTCCTTCCTTCTTCTCATTTAACTTTGTATAGAGAATGACAAGGATATATGGTGTCAATTCTGGCATGAGTCTCTAAAGCTAAACTAAAAGGACACCCGGCATTATGTGCCAAAGTTGTATCCTTTTTTAATTTTTTTATCTGTGTTTCATAATGGGGTAACGTAGTCTGGCAATATTTGTCATCGGCAGCTAGCTGTCAATGTCAAATTTTGTCAATATAACCTCTATATGTAGCCGGGTCGTCAAGAGAAATAACGGATAAAAAGGCAATCACAGCAGAGAACATTTATTTATTTATTTATTTATTTAATTCTTAATGCACAATTGTACAATGGCGGACTTAATGCCGTAGGCATTCTCTACCAGTCAACCATAGGGTGTTGTGGAGAAGATTAGTGGTAGGGTGCACATGTGAGGTGGAAATCACATTTAAAGCAGTAAATCACATTTCAACATAAATATTATATTAATATATAATAATTAAATTACACAGTAATTATATACAATTACATACATATATATATATATATATATATATATATATATATATATATATACATATATAAACATACACATACGTAAACATATAATAAAATAACACTACATAAAATTAATACATAATAATGACGACTAACTACTAAACGAAATTGTCTGTTCCAGTAAAAAGCTTCGCAGCTTGGTTTTAAAGCTATATTTGCTGGTGGACATTCTAATGGCCAACGGGAGTTCATTCCACAAATGAATTGTTTTGATGAAGAAGGAAGAGTGAGTGATATCAGAGTGGTGAGAGGGAACGACAAGTAAACGATTAGAAGAAGATCGAAGGTTTTTAGGATGAGAGGTACATAAGTACTGAAATTGAGAAGTGAGATAAGGGGGGGCATTTGGAGAATCTAACAAAGAGAACAAAGTGGTCAGAGCCCGCATACATCTGCGCTGCCTAATAGGCATCCATTTTAAGTCAGAACGATACGCGGACACATGATCATATTTTCTGAGGTTAAAAACGAATCGAATGCAGTAATTCTGAAGTCGATCAAGTTTATTGAGTAGATCTGCATTCAGGTCGAGGTAGCACACATCACCATAGTCAATTATGGGAAATATTAAGGTTTGCACAAGCCTTGCCTTAATATTGACCGGCAGAAAATTTTTCAGGCGATAAAGAGCACGCAGAGTTCCCGTTACTTTTTGACAGACACTACTTACTTGATCTTGCCATTTAAAACTCGAGTCCACATATAATCCTAAATCTTTTACGACATTGCTGAAAGGAACTGCAGTGCCGTCATAAATAATGGAACTAAGACCGCTGCTGTTAATTCTGCTCATCATTCTTGACCCACCTAATAAAATGGCTTGGCATTTTGAAGCATTGACAGTGACACCGAAACTATCCGACCATGTTTTGATAGCGACTAAGTCACTATTTAAAGCATCAATGGCGTCGTTTAAGTTGTCAATGCTTGCCTCTGTATATAGTTGTAAGTCGTCAGCATAAAGATGATACGAACATTGAAGTTTGTGAGTGATAAAGTCAATAAAAGTTGAGAAAAGAAGAGGAGAATAGGATGAGAACCAAGTCAATGCTTCGTCAGAGACCATAAGATGGGATAGTATGGAAAGGAGAATATCGTGACTGACAGTATTAAAGGCATTGGAGAAATCGATCAGAACTAAGCACGTGACTTTACCATTCTCCATTCCCGCCCTAATATCACCAGTCACCTTTAAAAGCGCTGAAACTGTGCTATGTCCGGGCCTAAATCCGGATTGGAGAGGGTTCATTAATGAGTTTTTGTGAACGAATTGAGAGAATTGCTTATGGACACAAGCCTCCAGCACCTTTGACATAAAAGGGAGGATGGCAATCGGCCGAAAATCATTAGGCTGTGTTGGATTGGGAACTTTGGGAAGGGGGCGTACAAAGGCTTTACGCCATAAAATAGGAAAAGTGCCAGTGTCAAGAGAGGAATTTATAATATGGGTTATAGCAGGAAGAAGAGGGTCCAGAATAGTGATGATCATGCGACGACTAATATCGTCACATCCTATCGCGTTAGATTTGATCGAAAGTATTATTTTCTTAATCTCTGACGATGTGGCTGGTGAAAAATGGAAAGGGGCAATGTTAGGACGCGTTAAACCATCTATAGAGGCAACAGTGCTTGTTGTAAGAGAACGATCCAGATTTATAGTGGAGGTAAAATGACAATTGAGATCGTTTAAGTTTATTGATTTAGATAGGTCCAAATGTCGCGATTTGCCGATACCTAGCGTTCCGAGAAACTTCCAGATATCAGCAGAAGATGAAGAAGAAAGATTGTTGAGAATAAATCGGCGTTTGGCGTTACGTATCATCTGATTACATCTATTCCTAGCAGCCTTGAAGAGCTTCCACTTTTCGTCAGAGCGATCCTTTCTGTAACTTCGAAATGTACGATCTCTTCGTCTCATCGCCATCTGAACACCCACTGTCATCCAAGGGGCTGGTTGACGCTTTAGTCTCACCTTTCTGACGGGCGCGTGGACATCGTAAATGTTTAACATAGTGTCTTTAAATATTTTAACCTTTTCATCAACAGTAGAAGCATTAAACAAAGGGTCCCAGTTGATCTCCGAGACATCCTTTTTTAGTTTGCCTAAGTCCATACGCGCGAATGAACGCCTGTGCAGAACCTTGGGAGAGGATTTGGGAGGCTTAAAGAGATAGGAAATAAAAATGAGGTCGTGATGGGAGAAGCCAGGAGCGATGTGTTGACCATGTGATGTGACAAGGGAGGGATTGGAGGTGAGGATTAAATCCAGCCATGTGTCATCACCACAAGTATTTTGGTGAGTAGGCTGAAGAGGTATAACATGAAGGCTGGTGGACCGAACAATATGAAGGAGTTTACGGGATCGTGAGGAATCGGTTGCTAGGAGATTGGTATTAAAATCACCCATGATGATAAGATGTGCATACTCAGACCCCAGAGATTCTAAAACCGCTTCAAATTCGGTGAAATAATCGACAGTGGGGGGACAATAAACTACACCAATAACTGCCTTAGCACGACCCGTTCCAATCTCCAGAAAAAGATACTCAGAATTGGAGTCAGAGCTGGAGGAAGCTATAATTTTGTACAAAAATGAACTACGTAGGTAGACAGCAACATTCACAATCACAGTACGCGGGAGCGGATGCGAATGATTTTTTTGTTTGTATTTTAGGATTGTTAAATTGACATTTGGTTTTTTATTTAGACAAAGCAAAGGAATCATGGTTTTTACAGTCACTTGAGTAATATTTTGAAGTAAAATTCTGTCCCTTTAAGATTTCGGGTTTCCATATCAAAAAATATTAATCATTATATAACTTCTTTCCACGATTCATTAAAAATAAGGCAAAAGTAGTTTTATGTAGCAAATAATTTTGGCTTTATTTTGAGACCAAATTCAACTGTATACAAGTTTAGCATTTTTTCTATGAAAAGTGCCGGGTCTCCTTTGACAACAGTATACTGTTGTCATTCTCTATAAATAATTAAAAGGAGAGACTGATGTTAAATTTAGTTTTAAGTTTTGAGAATCATGTCAGAATCGATACCACTGTTGTCAAGTTTAGGATTAGAGTCATGTCAGAATTAACATCAATGTTATAAAAGATGAACAGAATCATTATCATTGCTTTAGTTACCTAATGAATATAAAATATTTGATGCTTTGGCAACAAAAACTGGATCAATAAACTTTTAATATACCAATAAATAATTTTATATTAATATAATACGGACATAAAATAAATTCTAGTTTTTTGCCCAACGATTTACAATGAAGTGCCCTACGTTTCACAAAAAATTAAATCTGCCGAAGGCTTACTACCATCCTCCATACAATATGAATCGCCTTCTTTGATTTACATTTGTTATATAGTAGCTACCTACATATTTTAATAAATTTTAAATCTATTGTGACGGCGTTATAATTTAAAACTATGGTTTTGTAATTACTCTGAATGATGAATAATGTTATAAGCATTATAAGCATTTCTATGGTTATAAGTTAGGAGGTAAGATTGCATTGTCCTTTGTGTTTACGAGTACAAATTTTAAAACTATAAAATTCACCAAATGAAATGCCATTTTCAAACAATCGGTAAAAAATGGAGTTTATGGAGTGTTGAAAGATATTATTTAAACACCACACCGTTTGTTATGCTTTAATTTAGTACCTGATAGCGTATCAACTTATTTTTGAAATAAGATCATAAAAATATTTTTGCTCTGCACCAGTGTGAACATTTTGAATTTTGGTGTGAAGTGCCGTATGAATCCCCTTGTATTTAAACAGTTGCTTGGTAACATTTACCGTATACTTGCGTCACTATAAATAATTTGGCATTGTGCCCTTGTTTGTTTTCTACGATTTTGTTGATTCAGAAACACTGTAGACGCTGTGTTAGCAACAGAAGGCCCGTTTTAATGTGACCTTGAACCTGCAACAGCTGTTTGTAAGTCATTATCTTTTTTATTTAATTTTTACCAACTTTTTCCCATCACACTCTTATTAGTGCTAATAACTAAATTGCTGGAGAATACTTTAAAAAAGAATTGCCAA